CTATGAGAAATACTCAAACGTATCAGGTAGAAGTTGTTACGATGGCCTAACACCAACTTCTCGTAACTAATCTGAAAGGAAATGTGTAGCATCTAGGAGGGAGATTTAAGGATAAGATGTTGGGAGTTTAATGGGTTATATACTCAAGGAACATACCTGAGTGTGAGACTTGTTGTCTACATTACATTTTTTTGTAATGATAAAACATGGAAAAAACGCAATAAGAACTCAAATTTAAATTTTTTTTATAAATGGGCTTTGTGTCACCACTGATTAATTTTCCAGAGAAACGTTTGGTAAAAGTCTATTGTTCTGTTCCGAAACAACTGTCTTAAAACAAGAAAAAGAGATCAGTCTATCTGTTCATGTTCTCTTGTTAAAAATCATGTCATCCAAGGATGCACGTGAACAACAATACTGAAAAAAAAAAAGAAAAAAAAAAAAAAAAGAAAATCCAGTCGTGCATTTGATATTCATTTCTGTAATGAAATAGGTTTTAATTGATTTTTAAAACTTTTAGACTCCTTTCTTACGGGTTCCCCTCGCTTGGAAGAGAGCTCTTCCCTTGCTCTTGACGACAAGGTGACCAGGCCACAAAGAGGTCGTACCGTCTTTTCTGCTCATCAACTGCACGAGCTAGAGAAGGTTTTCATCACTGATCAGTACATCTCTGGGCAACAAAGACGACGTCTTTCTGCTCTACTCGGCCTGACCGAGACACAAGTGCGAGTTTGGTTCCAGAATCGGCGAATCAAATGGAGAAAGAACAGATTGGAACGAAAGATCAAAATGTGACGAGTCCTTCTGGATGGAAGTGTCTTAAAGAGTGAAGTTAAGGACTGGATTAAAAGGAATAGATAGAAGAACAAATAGACTGTCACATATAGATATCAAAATCGTTTAGACTTAAGGTGTGGATTCATTGTGTCTAACAGAGGTTTGTCAAAAAAGGAAACTTCCTTTAAAAGTATAGATAACATTGTGGTTAAGATAGTCGCTTTGTTGTTATTGCTGTCAATAATCTTGCTTGCATCTTAACAAGTTGAGCGACTTTTGTCCACGATTACTGAGTAGACTCGAGGTTGGCCCAGTGACATGTAGATGTATAGAATCTTTATGAAATCACTGCGATATTTTGAAAGCTCGTTGATATAAGGAGCTCTTCCCGCCCTTCATTCTTATAACTTAAACGAGGACATGAGCAAGAGTGTGAATCTCTTTGTCTAGAACCTGAACATTTTCACTGTCTCTATTTCGACAGAGACACTTTTAAACACAGGATGTCTCTAACATAGTTACCAACCCCTTGGAAAATGAAAGTAAATTCTTAGTGTTTCGAATAGTTGGTTTTCAAGTGTAAATATATATAAAAAGAAGTTTAAGAAGTATTTCGAAACTGCTGGAGAGATAAGTGTGTTTTATTTCAGCTTACTTTTTGACTTGATTGGTTTATGAATTGTTATATACTCAAAGGAAATGGCTGGTTGACTGCTGATTAACAGACTTAATGGTTGAGTGACATATTGAAAGATTGAAAGATCAATCGGTAGTTATATTGATTTATTGACTGCTTGGAGTTTAAGCTAAAATAAAATAAAAAAAAATTGCATAATTGGAGAAGAAACCTAGCTTGAAACCAGCACTTTAAATAGGTTTTCATCATCTTAGATCGATAAATTAAACTTATTACAGTAGTTTACAAATTCAGACTACCAAAGTGTGTTTTCCTATCAGTTTGTCAAAGCATTTCTTGAATATTTTGACCAGGCCAAAATGTCTCGGTTGAAACAAATCTGAGGGGAATCCAATTAGCTACCCTTGTAAATGACAACTGTGAATGGCAAACATTACACTCGGTCTTGTAGGTTACGGAGGATAACTTGCAGGAGCTGTCTCCACCCTCTTTAACTGACTCGTCCTCAGTCTTCTCTTGTTTTTCACGCATGGTCACAGGGTCGTGGAAGACTGGCCCTATTTAGTCGAAGGACCTTTTATTCCTTCCTATTCTCCTCCTCGCGCACTTTCAGCGTGCTCTCAAAATGATGTTTTAAAGGAAGTTGAACGACTGAGGGTGGGTTATTATTTCTAGTATCATATGGGGACGACTTTCTCATGGTGATAATGATTATGCTCCTTATCTGTGCGTATCGAAGAGGATGAGGATCAGCACATCAGTGTCAAAACTCCGACTTCGAACAGATAATTCTAACAGCGTCATAATGCCTTGACGGTTGGCGGCTCAAAGAATGATTCGGTCCCAGACCTCAAGGTAAAGTTCCCTAGATCTCAGGCCTTTTTTATGCTTATGTTCCCTTTGAGCCGTTTCGCGTGAGCCCAGTAACCGTGAGAAGACCATATCAGCGGACGACTCATCTTTTCCTCAAATCACGCGAGGAAATTTTATTCTGATTACTACTCCTGTATGTACAAAATTTTCACTGGGTCAGCGAACAGGGACGACCTTTGCGTTTAATTCTCGTTACCGTGCCGTCGTGTTCGTAATTATGAATTGTTGACAACTTGATTTGGTCTAAAAAATTTGTATTTAATGTAAACCAATCGAACTAAAGTCAAACTTGACGATCCACATAGGTAAAGTTACAAAATAACAGGCATTTTCTGTAGTTCTCCATCGGTATATTTAGGACAAAGAAAAGAAATTTATTGTTCCGTTAAGACGGTTCTGATTGATTATGGAACTTTCCAGTGAAATTAATCAATTTGGTCGGCCAGTTGTGTGGATCATTCTGAGTGACAGCGTCTCGTGGCAGAACTTGCACAATGAAACCACCTGTTTTCCTTCTGTTCGATTAGAAAACCTTAATCTATCGTCTGTGAAGTATCCAAACATCACGTCCCTTTATATTTTTGTGTCTTTTTTTGGTAAACAGATGTTCTGCTCTAATAAGCAATTTCATTCAAGTTAAAACCATTTTTTTATGTATAATTCATGACTTATAAATTTATTGATGTAGAGTTATCGTAGAACATAAGTAAACTTTTCAAAACAATCACTCAATTTTTTCTTCGATAACTCCACCGTCGACCTTGTAAAAATGGTCCTTCTAGCAGACATTCTTTACATCGAGTTATTCTAATCATCACGTGATCCGTAAACAAAGTAAACAGTAGTACAAAAGTTCCCTGACATTTAACACAATGCAATGGAGCGCATTAGTTTTTGTCACGAGATCTATATATAGCGTGCGTTTCCAAGTTACGGGGTCTACTACATAGACATTCGTACCACACTGAAAAGAGTAAAGAGCACTCGAGTTTTCTTTTCTTAAATTAGTTGAATGATCATTTTGCTGGATTTCTATAAATATATCCGACATCTATATACTTAGCTGGTAACTACTTGTAGAAACAAAAACGTTTTTCATATTATAAAAATAAATCTAGGAAAGCTCAGCGTCCGCTCGAGAAAATAAAATCAAACATGTTCTATTTTTTTAGAATATTCATCCAAGAGAATTTTGGATATACTACATATTTCAACCATTGACATATAATTTTTTAAGATGCAATTATTTTAATGCCAATTATTCCCGTTTCTCTGCATCGCAAATACGCAAAGTGGTCTGATTAATTAACATTCGTCCTTGGAACAGGTTTAACTATCACGATCTTCCATTGTCTCCTTTCGGCTTTTCTTCTCTCCTTCTTTCTTTCTTTCTTTTTTTTTTTTTTTTTTAAACACTCGTTTGGTTTTTGTCGATCAATTACACTTTCTAGACACGTGCTTATTTGCGTAGAGTAGTCTTTGGTCTAACTTTTCCCTTCTTCCGTTCCTTTCCCTTGTGCTGGTGCTTGGGCTCTTCGACGTTCGTTTTCATTCGGAAAATAAACCTTATTCCTGCGTTTGTGCTTACGCTTGTGATTGCGCCGCTAATGAAAACTGGGCTTTACCGCCGTCTGTTTCGCCTTACAGTGTAGCTGAACCTTTTACACGATCGACAGCCGCCTATGGTTAAAGATATTGAACCTCTACTAAAGATGTTCCAGTTTTGTCCCTAGTCATACATACATCTATTTGGCTTCCAAATCTTACCAATGACACGCACACTTAACTAATGAAGGATGTGGCTAAATCATTTTCTTTATATTGTCGAAGACAAATGATTATTCGGTTTTGTTTTCATATTTCAGACACTAAAAGATAGAGAGAGATATATATTCTGCTGAACGGGTAGAATATCATTCCTTTGAAAGAGTCACTGTTATTTACCCCTAAAGTCACAGAGCTAAACAACGGCCATTAGCAATCATTAGAAAATATGGCAACAAAGGAGAGCGTTACAATAAATTAAAATTTTACTCAGTAGCATTATCAATTAGAAGTCAAACTGGAAAAATAACAGGTCTTTTATATGTTTACGACGGAAAACCATTTCACCCGCAAGCCTCGGTTTCACATGTTAATCAGGAAAGTTTTCCCGAAAAAAAAATACGTTAAAGGAAACCACAGATTCATTAAAATGCTGGTAAAAACACGCTTGGGGGTTTATTTTCAGTAAACAACGTCATCATGCCAAAGAGCAATTTTTTGCGAAACGTGAAAGTATTAAACAAAGCTAAATGAGTCTCTACGCTTTGTTTTGTTTTTTTTTCAGCTGTTGATCGAAAGGACTGTTGGTTTGTTAACTTAAGCCAACAAAAAGTTAGTTTCATATGATGTTAACTTATTCAAGACCTGCTGTTGTACATGGAGTCTCACAGTGATATTTATGAGGCCATTTATTTCATAAAACGAACCCTAAATAAAACCAAGGGTAGAAAGATTTTATGAATATTCAGAACAAGCGCTTTGTTTAATCACCTCGTCGAATTCTCGATTTTAACCATTAAGAAGACGATGAAAGCAAAATGACCACCAGTGGAGAGAGATCAGTTAAAGTTTTCACGCTCGATTCAACACTTCCTTTTCGTCTTTTGTGGTCGGTAAAAGAGATTGTTGAACACAGAAATGGTCGCAAACTTCCCCACTTTCATAAACGTGTTTGTTTAAAGACACTTTTATTTCATTATTAAAGCAATTAGCAGGTAAACATGATGTCCCGATGAGCCAATACAAAGCTCATTTACACATTTCAAAAACCAACTATTACGTTTTCGTGCACTCTTGGTTCAAATTGACAGACGGCTTAATGAGTGCGACAGGACAAAGCTACCATTGTACGAAAAATAAAACTTATTGGAAAATAGAAATGAACACATTGACTAAACCTAGCATTCAATTGGAAAATAGGCATTGGAGATCTAAAAACAGAGAATAGAAATATCACCACCAGCCTCCTTAGTAAATGTGGTCTTTGGTTGCTAGACAATTGGAAGGTTGCGCGTAAAAATGCGATATAGAATTAAAGGATAAGAAGTCATAATGTGCGTTTTATCTCAGTTATCATTAAAAAGTTCTGCCAGATCACGAAGACAGAACCAACTACAATAGAGCACGCCACTCGCATTACCACACGATCGAAAAGCATGCAAACCGACGAGCGATCATCTCCGTTGAAGGCGGACAGCGACAACATCTTCCCTTGCCCATGCAGTGTCTGTGTGCCAACATATGGAAAAGATTTCAGCAGTGAGACAGCTCTAATGGCACCTCCTAGAGAGACAATGTCGAGGCATCATCGACTATTAGGCTTTACTGGCCCCCCGATTCCCATGTTACCATATACTCAGATTCCGGGTTCTCCTACTCGCCTCTTGATGCCGTACGCTCTTCATAGAGCGCCATATCAAAGAGCAGTCTTTGCCCCCGACGCCTGTTACAGATCGGGAAGTGTGCAAGAAACTCCCAAACAAGAAATCTTAAGAGAAAGCCATCTCATTCAGACTGAATCCTTAACACCAAATCCCGATGCTTCTGGGAGATATTGGGACCGATCTGGTAGTAAGTATAGTAATGCTTTAAAATCTTTCATCCTCATCGATGTTTTTCAGTTCGTGTCCAACAATAGGATACAAATCAATGAGTGTTTTTTATGGAGAAAGAGGTTGAAGTCACGTACTTTATTCACTAGCATGTTTTTGGCTTTGCTGCATGCTCTCACCTTTTAAGATTTTTTTTTCTCATCCACAAAGCTTCCCAAATTTTCATCGAGAAAATGGACTTATAATAAGTTAAAATAGAAGCTATTAAGGCTGAGCGTGTTTGGGTGTGTAAACAATGAATAATGCTGCCAATTAGAAGTGAAAAGATTCCCAGTTAAGGATACAATTATTGAATTAAATTAAAGTATTTTGATGTCACGACATTTAAAGAAAAATTAACTTTTAAGTTGAACATTTTTCGGGAGACACCGACTCGACATCTAATTGATTGAATCGCGTTTCTTATCGTGTATTTGCTTTCATGTTTCAATCCCAATTGTCTTAAACAGCGATGTTTACTTTCACATTGACTAATTCTGCGCCATAATTATGAATATTAGCAACAGCTTAATTGCGTATTAAGTAATTAGAAATTTATGCTTAGTAAGTGTGGTGGATAAAAAGATAGCATTGATTTAGTTGGGAGTGGTTTGAATGGTTTCGCAGAGAAACAGTTGTCGAGCTGAGTATTGAAGTCACGCAAGAAGTGGAGTTTCTTTTCAAAGGGTACAAAAAAAATAGCCGCAGAAAAGGAAAAACCTCACTTTCTTTCTTACCACAGGACGTGGGCATAGAATATTAAGTTTCTTTAAAAAAAACCAGCGGCTTTAGTATTCGATTCTCATCTGTATATTTCGGCTTCGAGTGTTAAACTCGATAGCTGACTAGTGAGCGCAGCGAACGATTGAGATGTCGAGTTGAACACGAGACATGTCCCAGCGATGAAATATTTCGGCCTATTATTCCTTTGTGTCAATATACAATATCTACATAAAGTTTGTCTCCTCGTATTGCTTTTCCGTTTTCAAAACATGCAACCACGGAAGATCTACAAAGGCTTCACATATTTCAAAGTGGAAATGTCCCAGCGTTAAATTACGCCGGCTTATTATTCCTTTGTGTTAAGTACAATATCTACCGAAAGTTTATCTCATTGTGATTCTTTTCCGTTTTCAAAACGTGCAATCACGGAGGATCTTCAAACGCTAATCTGTTTCAAAGTGAAGTCGAATTTTCGTGCGAAATTTATTTCTAAGCCGCTAAATTCACAAGTTATTGGTTATTCCCAAATTCAAAACCTGAAAAATTTTAAAATATCTTATTTGAGAATTTATTTACGTTAGTCAACATTAATTATGTTTTACCATTTTCCAGATAAAGGTCCACACGAGAAATCACGCCGAATGCGCACAGTCTTCTCTCCTCAACAGCTCGACAGACTGGAACGATATTTTAAGAATCAGCAGTATGTGGGAAGTGCCCAGCGGATTATCATCGCTTCACAGCTCGGTCTCTCAGAAACCCAAGTCAAAGTTTGGTTTCAAAATCGGCGAATAAGGTGGAGGAAGACAGCGCTTAATGGTCCAAAAAAAACTCTCACAGAAGACCAAGAGTCCTAATGTAATGGGACTCTAACGAAGTCAATATTGCCGGGGGCTTTTGAGAGAGAAAGTCCTAACTCTTCAAACCATACCAACATAAACACACTGGAGGTGAGGGAAGGGGCGCGTACTGGAAAGAGGGCGCTTCATCAACGGGGCGCTTATTATTCTAATGTACTGATTCCGCTTTAGTGGAAGCTTAAGAAGTCGTAAATAAAGTAACATTAAAAAGTAAGTGTCATTGGGGTTAACCGTTGGCTAGAAAACGGACAAAAAAAAATTAGAAGTTAGGCGTAAAAAGTAACAAATTTTATTCGTAACCCGTTAAAAAACTGTAAATTTTTTTCTGTAGATTTGAATGGAAGAAAGTAACCATTAGCCTTAAAATAGCCAAAATCTTAACCGGTAGCCGTAAAAGCCATCACCCCGTTGAGACCCTTTAGAAACAGGTTCTCCATACATCCCTATTATTTAAAAAATTGAGGGAGGAGGGGGAGGGGGAGTTTATTCGAAAGGAAGCGCTTGTTTGACAATATCACCTTGGCGATGGGCCCCTATTCGGGGGAGGGCTCTAATTAGAAAGTGGGCGCTTATTTGAGGAATTACGGTAATTGCCTTTTCAAAGAGAGTTTAATTTTGAATCTTTTTAAGGTAGTAGGGTTTTTAAGATCCATAGTAAGTACGCCGCAGTTTTAGATTAATTGATTGCAAATAAAAATAAAAAAAGACATTTAAAAGGCTTGTCCACTTAAGTAACAGATGTACAAAAATTCGAACACTGAAAAAAGAGTTTGCAGTCTTTATGATTCCTTAAGAAACAAGACGTACGTAATCGAAGCTCTTGATTGTTAAACAAACTCTCCTTGTAAGCACCCAAGGAAACGTATATAGAACGGTTTGAAGAATATGCACACCGATGATAGGGTGTAAAGGGTGAAAACGAAACCAAACAACATATATAATTGCTTTGTTGTTACGTTTTCAGAGCGATCAACGGTTAGGGTTTGAACGCTACACCTGACCAGTTTCGCATTTCACTCAGCCTTCTCGCCCAGTCATCATCATCATTCATCATCATCATCAGGTCGAGCTTGCTCGGTATTCCGTGACGCGCATGTAGGTCTTTTTTGGGCGTCCTTTCGGCTGAAGTCTATGTGTTGGCTTCCAGAGTAATATATCCCCTGCTAGTTCTTCTTTACTGCGCCAACAATGTCCTGCGAATCTCATTCTTTGTTGCTGTAGCGATTCACAGATTGGCGGGATGTGGCCGTAGAGCTCTACGTTTGTAGGGTGATCCTTCCACGATCTGTTTAAGGCAGTGCGTAACATTCTAGTGTATCCTCCATCGATTTTCTTTTCCAGATGTGTTGTTAAGGTCCAGGCAATGCTCATTTAAAGCATCCCACGCCTTTCCTAGTCTGATGTTTACATCATGTTCGGTAGAGGTGATGAAGCTTCCCAGGTATTTAAAATCTTCCACTTGCTTTGTCTTCTCAACATTGAGACTCTTCATTATTCTCTTTATTATCCTCAGTATCTATCAGTTGCTGATTAACGGCTCCCTCTTAGTTAATACAAGTCTTGCTTAGCTCACGATGTTTATAATAATAACGAGTGGCTCATTATTTTTGGTGCGTTTTGAGGCGCTTACAAACTATAGCCAAAGTCATCAAAACAGCCAATCAATCAGAAGAGAGACAACTGACGCCAAGCGAATGAAACATTTAGAGCTGCCTTGAATGAAATTTCCTCAGCTTCACATGCAATACTCAGTGGTGTCGCATTTGCAGGTATGTCGAGATGATTAAATTTAGTAACGATGTCAAAATCACGCGGGGCACGAGTAGAACATTTTTACCTGAAAGGACATTAAAAGTTGATTAAGTTTCAGGTTTGCTTTGTTCCTAGTTTAATAGCCTATTCATTGTTCAATTCATATAACTGAGACAGGAAATAAACGTTTTATTCTGAAAGCAAAATATTATCAAACAAACAATGAATTAAAGCAAAAACCAAGGTAAATTTCAGTTGACGAATTTACGAGTGAAGAAAGGAATTGGCCATTGCGATATCAAAACAACACTTTTAAAAGCTTCCTATTCAAATAGATTGTCTGTGTTGCAGAATAAATAAACAATTTATCAGAGTGGGAAAAAATACACTTTTTATACTATCTTTTTCAATTACGAAGGCACCGGAAAAACCAGGTTTTTTTTCTTTGAAATACGTGCGGGAGCTTAACAACTCCCTTCTGAAAATAATTTTTAAAATTGCGTTGTCGTACATGCAATTTTTATGCAAAGAATATTCATTATTCTTATAATCAATTCTTTTTTTCCCATTTTACCATCGATCTACCAACGGATTATAATTCTGGTATAATACAGTAATGTAGCGATTATTTTTCCTTTCAGAGGATCCGTTACGAGGGCATTAATTTTCTGCCAGAACCTCCTCAAAATTTCACTAATTATCTTTCATAATCTTTGAGATCTATCTTTCTTGTGTTATCAATATACTTTCACTTCAGACAAGACAAGATGTTTGTTTTAAATGGACGGCGGTTTTACGCACGACTTTACATAACAACCGACTAATAGATCTTTTGTGTCCATGAATAACTAACTAGCTTCCTGCATATTAATCCATAAAAAGGTTCGGTTGCTTCGTGTCTTTGCCAGTCTAACAATCCTGAAGAGGAGACATTTGCAAACGTTAATTAAATGTCTTTCCTTTCAAAGACCACACACCGTTGCTACTTTTCTCTAACTGACCCCGAGCGAAAGTCACGCTGACTTCAAGTCTGTGAAGTTCAAGGTAATGAATTCATATCGTGTTTGGCCCTCATATTTTTTTTTTCTGTTAAGGGAGATGTTACTGTTTCATTTTCTCCGAGACATGATATCTATGATATACATATATAAACTTTTACTTTAATTTTACCTGCAAAAAATGCAAAAAAGAACATAAAATCAAAAGAGCGTTTTACTACTTAAATCTGAAGGAATCTATCGCGAAATAACAGTTTGAATAAGATTTCGATGTGTTCCATTTTTTTATTTTGATTTAGTTAATTTTTTGACTCAGCACCGCAATCCATTGAAAATGAATTTTCAGTAAAAAAGCACTTTACGTTTACTTAGCTCAGATTATAGTTTTATCTAGTGTGTGTGATAATTCTAAAGACAATAAAAGATACAAGCACTTGCAAATTTTGGGTTCACCTTGGGCACATTATCTCAAGTACTCTTTAGCCTTTTAAAAGAAAGCCGAAAATTTTAAAATCTTTCGAAGAGATTGATGAATATTCTTAGAAGTTTTTTGGAATAAATTCCTGAAAAAAAAGCTCTTGTTATATTGCGAACCAGAAACAAAGTGCAAAGTGATGTAAAAAACCAAATTATGGTTCATAAGGAGAACAAAAAGATGATTATTGAAAGACAAAAACATTTACCCTTAACACCAAAGAAAAATCTACATTTATTATAAATGAGGATTTCAATGAAACGTCCATTTATAAACTGGAATTATGTTCTATGTTAAATTAATAAAAGTTTTTCGAAAGGTCTTATTTTTGTGCTCTTGACCATTACTTGTTTTTGTTCATATATATTTTTTCTAAATAATAAATGTCATCAGATGGATACAAGTAAATTATCTTCTACTTGGTTTAGCTACAATATTGCAACGTAAGTCTTTATGAAATGGAAAGATGTTAGATTTATTTGCGTAGTAAATGTAATAAGTTTCAGAACTAAGTTACTTTCCTAGAGTCCTCAGCATTAGGCGAGGTAAAGCACAGGCACCTCAAAAAGAAAACATTGTGTGGCATCAAACTGCCAGTCAAAATGTGAGAATTTCAGGTGATAAGGCAGTATGTTTCTTTAACATGAAGAGATTTTAAAAGTAAGCTCATTGCACAAAATATCTATTTATTTAAGGAAAAGTGGATGAGAAAAATTAAAATTAGATGTGTCATACGACGCATTTAGGAAAAGGAAAGGAAATATGAACTTATTAATAGAATTTTGGAGGCAATTTGAGAGCCTTTTTGTGGAGAGCATCCAGTGATGACATATCCGTAAGATCAATCATGCATCCGCATTAAGATTTTCCTGTGTCCCATTTCAAAGTATCGATCATGTGCTGTCACTTTCAACAGACACACATAATTACCAGCAGACACTACGTGACCGGCCGTTTCTCGGAAATAAATAATTGGAAACAAGACAGTAGATAGCTGTCATCGGGGACGAATGAACTAAACGCTAACTGACACTGTTCTATTGACATGGCTTTGTGACTTTTGAATTCTACATAGACTTTCTGTTTAGCTAAAGAAGTTCCGATTCAATTTTGACCTACCGTTGGCCAGCAGCGACATTAGACTCCAAGATTCGTCCATGAACATGAATGGTATGGTTGCCAAGGAAAAAAAAAGGCGTTTGTTGTAGTTTATGTCAGAGATAGTATCAAAAGAAATGATAATAAATTGATTCAAGTAGGACCCAGAGATAGAAAAAGAAGAAAAAGTGGATATGAGAAATTGGAATTATTTTACTTATAATGAGCGGTATAATGCGCACAAACCGCGATAAAAACATCGCTAGATATATATCAATTTTTTGGGCCATTTCAATTCCAAGCGGTACCTTGGAAATTAACATCCTGAAAAAAAGAACCATTATATTCACGCAGAATCGAGTGAATCTGATAGTCAAAGGTTTGATTTTGATCTCAATTTTAGAAAAAGTATTTGTTTTTATCCTGAAAATGTCAAGGTTGCGAAAGGAAATGAATGTCATTACTTTTTAATCTACGTGCGCGTATTAAAACATTTTTAAATTCTAGTTCCGTTGTTTGCTTATTCTTTGTCTGCTTTAGATCTTACATAAACTGCCAAGACAGCGAAACCGCGACGGCTATGATGAACGTTTTTCATAATGGTAAGTTTGATGTTTTGGAAGATGAGCTAAGAAAAATGCTGGGGTGTTAGTAACCATGGTAGTATCTGACGATTCAGTCTCGTTTTAAGTTCGGGAAGTGCAAAACTATTTATTAACTAGATTAGCGAAGAAACGAAGACCATCCCACCTTTAAAAAAAATGAAGCAATACAGTCAGTTTCCCAGGTGAAATTTGAAAACAGCAAAAAGGAAGTAGAGACGGAAAATAGTGTCTTGGAATCCAAGAAGAAAAGACGCCGATTAAAAAAAAAGGAAAATTGTAAATCTTTGTAGAAGCGGAGACGAAACGAATTACTGCTGCACCAATCTGTTCTACCGAAAGAAGTTTGGAATTCAATGAAGTCCTTTCTACTGAATACAGCATCTTTAAAATCCCAGAGAAAATTATTTTATAATAAACTTTTTCTTCTTAACCAGATTCTGATGGGAGCGTCGGTAATGACAGCGACCTGTCACAGTCTTCAATTTCCCTGAAACTTCAAATTGGCATGACGTTTGCTTACGTCATCATCTTTATCATCTCTCTGGTAGGAAACGCTCTAATGATTTACGTCATACACAAGACGCCTCGACTCAGAACTACGACCAACCTATTGGTGGCTAATATGGCTGTAGCTGACGTAATTATCACATTTTTCGCCGTGCCTTCAACTGTGATGTACTTATATCTACAGCATATTTGGTTATCTGGAGTGATTGGTGATATCACTTGCAAGGTCGTGCAATATGGCTTGACATTGTCAATAGCTGCCTCTGTTCTCACACACATACTGATTGCGATCGACCGTTTCATCTGCGTTGTGTTTCCTTTCAAACGCGTCACATTCTTTAAGAAAGTTAGACCGAGCTACGTATTAACCTGGTGTGCTTCGTTGCTTCTAATGAGTCCGCATCTGGTTGTTTACGACAGCGCAAAGCTACCAAACGGTAAGAGCTACTGCACAGTAAGCCGGCTTGAATATCTGTACTTTCTTGAGATTTATTATGTCTTGGTGTTTGTAACGCTCTATTTGATTCCATTGCTGTTCATTGCAACACTATACGCGTTTATCTGCCGAAAGCTATGGAGGCATAAAGTACCAGGAGTACGCTCCCCTGACCTTATTCTTAAGAGAGAATTCCAAAACAAGAACACCATCAAAATGCTTATCATTCTGGTAATAGCATTCACATTGTGTTGGCTACCAGTTCACGTCGTACATCTACTGGAGTATTTTCGGCCTGAATTACATTTGCCTCATGTGGCATTACTTTTGTCCTTCTGGGCCTGTCACTCCCACAGCGCAATCAATCCATTACTGGTTGTATTTCTTAATGGATTGTACAGAAAAGAATGTCAAGAGAAAATTAACAAGAAATTGGCCAGCTTATCAATCAAGAGAAGTACAGGAACAAATATAGTTTTAGCTCCACAAATGAGAACTGCAATATCCCGAGCGCCATCACCACAGGCCTTAGGATAACTATGACCGGTACACACGGACGTTTGGGTAGTTGGGTGGGGGAACCCCTGAGTTTTCACCGAGTTTGAGATGGAAAATTTAGAAGTAATGTAACTTTTGATAGATAGGGTACGTAAGGAGTATGGCACGGCCTCCGATGGCATTGGCCTATAGACGATAGCCTCCTAGATAGCTGCCAAAACGGCCACCAAGATGGCTGCCATGATTACTTCCAAAATGGCTACGAAGACGGATGCTAAGAATTCCTCCATCATACGTACTTAAGCACCGATGTTAGCTTGATAATAGTAAACGAACCGTTATGATGAATCTAAAATTGACACTTCTCAAACCTCAGCCGGTTAACAATTCGCCTAAGCGATATTTCCATAGCTGTTCTTAATACGTTAATACTTGGGTTTATTTATCTATAAAGGAATATTAAATAGGGATTATCTCATAGCCTAAGGAAAAAAATGAATGCGCTTATTATGTAATTTTTCTATTTCATACAATGATCATTGAGTTTCTATGTAAGAAGCTCATGTGAAATGACACTGAAACAAGCTAAATGGAGGTACTTAATTTTACTCAAGAAATGAACGAGAGATTGTATAGCCGCTTAAGAAAGTGGAATCATGGTTTAAGGGCTAGGTATTTCTATGTAGCACTTAACTTTTTCCTGCCGCGCCGGTTTTTGGGATATAACAAAGCTTCCCACACAATTAAGGAAGCTTCTTTCGAGAAGTGTTGTGTAATATACCAAAGAAAGACACTAATTAAAATATAGACGCATGGACTCTAAATTGTTTGACCATAACCTTTACTAAGATACTCTTCAAAATGCCTGAGTGCATCAAGCTCTAATGACCAATTTAAAGCTCTTCCTTCGCACAAGGTTTTTGGATTGTCATACTACACCTCTACAACTTGACCATAATTCAGCGAGAGACGTTGTGTGACCATCCAAAGTAACTGCGGCGAAAGAAGAGCACTTCAGGATGTATAGGTCACAATCAGTAATATTTAATGTAAACATCAACACAAACACGCCCTTGGTTGTCGCCATCATTTTTGTTTTTGAGATCTTCGCCACACCAAATGCGGAGCTCACGGTGTTTTTCCAGGTAAAATGGGACGCCAAAATTTGTGAAGACAAGCTCGTTGGAGTACGACTCATCCACCCCAGGCATCGCATACCACAGAGTCGACAGGTCTTTGAGGTACTCCGTCCTTGGGTAGATGATATTGTTTCTCTGGTCAGTGACAATGACGTTTAGGGGCGTTTTGCTACCTGAATGACAGCCCCAGCGACTGTTGTAGGCCTTGTTTGGCGTGCATCTGGAATCACAGAACAGCGAGCTATGTTGCAATCGTTGAAGTCATTTTTTTTTCTTCGGCGTTCAAAATCTTATTGACTTCGAAACTTTTAGCCTGTTTAAGGCATTCAGTGAGTAAATGTAGTGCGACAGAAAACGGCGTGATAACAGAGATGAAGCGAAAAAGAGAGAGAGATCTAGGTCAGGTCGGTTTAAGGTGCGAAAGCAAATCTCTATCCCCTGGTTTTTTTGCTCCGCCACTACAATCTTGCCGTTTTCTACGGCGCTCTATTTTACAAATTGAACACTTAAAATGGACAATGAAGATTTCGTAGTGCTAGTTCACTAAGACTGGACAAGAAAACAGAAACAAAGGAGATGATAAACCAAGAACAAGTAAAGGTATCTGAGAATGGAGAAGGTTTAGAAGACGGACGGACGAACTTTAAAAGATAAGTCTGACGTGTTCACTCCTTTAGTTAACAGTAACACGCTACCCCTCTCGGAAAATTGCTTCACTGTGATTGGTTTAAAATTTTTCTTGTTTGATGACTGCTAGAAGTAAAATGGTGGTTATGCACTGAGGTAACTATAGCTACTAAAGCTCTTTAATTCATTAATTCAATCAGTAGGGTTGGGAGAAATTTCTAGATGGTTAAAGTGTTAAGAAACAGTAAAGTGCTGATATAGTTACACAACGTCAATCCCAATTTCAGATTGCAGTGTCATCACTTGTGAGGAAATTTATAAATTTGCTATGTTTCGATTTGCGAAATTATCCATCTCGCTTCTACTCTAAGATTCCCATATCTTTTTCTAACTCACCGGATTTCACCACCTCTGTACACCAATTTCATGGCAGCCACCAAGCGAGGCTCGGAGAGGAAGTTGTATATTGTTCCATGACGGTCCCCGCTGCACTCAAAGCACACCTGTCGCAGGTTCAGCTGTGCCCACTCGAATGACTTGTTTCCTAAGCAACAAAATATCATGTTATAAAGCTACTGTGAAAAAAGGAACTTGTCAGAATTATAACTACAGGTTATAAATGAAAAATCTTTGGAAAGTTTCACATCAGTAGGAGAGGTGAAACAAAACTTTATTTTGCAGCACTATCGAGTGCCTCTTTCATTATGAGAATTTTCCTTGAAAGAGGCAGTTATTGTTTATAGAGAAAAATGTGTATAAAAGGATCGTCTTGGTTCTCCTTCTCAAATTTCCAAAAAAAAATAAGAAGACGGCATACGCTTGTAAACAAAAGAATATAAAATTATCTTACTCTTTCTTTTAAATGAATATGATGAGTTCAAAATTGTATTGTTTCCTTAGTTATTTTCTTCTAACGATTTTTAGGTTGTCTAAAGAAACTTTTTGTTTTCCACTTGTAATAAAAACGTTAACTTTTATTATCACTCTTTCTAGAGAGTTTTGCGAGTCAAAAACGTAAGCAATGAGTAGCTTTACCTCATATATATATATATATATATATATATATATATTTATATATCTGTCTGATGATCGCGAAAGCGTGAAACTCAGAGTCACAGAAAAGTTGTCTTATTGATTTGTCCAACTTACATATATATATATATATATATGACGTTGTATATATATATATATATACACATGTATATATTATATATATATGACGTTGTCAGTGATCCTTTTTTTTCCGCAATGTTAAGACTAACGTCCGATCCTTTAATTTTTTTATTTTCTAGTACACATTATTATCAGAAATATCTCTATGGATATTCTAACATTTCATATCACAAAAAACTTGGCCTTTAGAGTATCCGGATTGCTTATGGAAACTATAGATTGGAACATATTATCAGAAATCTCTTCGCAAGGAATTGTGTTTTTCTGGGTCATTTCGATTTATACTCAAACTTGATATAAATGTAGGCATTTAATAAAAATAATCTTAAACGTAAGTGGTACTCACCCGGCTGTTGTGTAAAACTTGGAACTGTAAAGCAAAGCAGAACCAAAATCAAAAGCATTGTTGTAGTTTCGTTCTTCCCGGTGAGACCAGTTCTTTTCTGTAAAGCACTTCTTTGTCCAATGATTTTGTCGAGTAAAGAGGACGAGATTTTTATTGAAAGAATGTTTACTTTCCTATTCAATTAATTGACAGTTCTAATTAAAGAAAATGAATTCTTTTTTATTGCAATCAAGACGAGAAGACATTAATGAGAGACCATACTTACATCATTTTAAAATCTTAAGATGTAAAAAGCTTCGGTTTTCAACCAAGAATTTGTTTACGTGTCTCATGGCTTTTTTTTTTTTAAGGAAAGCGATTGCTTTCCCTGGCGACGTTAGGGAAACTGCTAACCGGTTAGAGATTATATGATTTCTAATAATTAAGTAATCAACCCTGCCCTAGATAAATATTGACATCAATATACAAGAAAAAGAGCGCAGATTGGCTTGAAACAAATCATTTTTATTTCTACATGTGATCATGATAGCGATTTTAAGATTTTTATTCCACAGATCTATAGTCGAATGCATTGAGAATTGAAGATAACTCTTCTTTAATCAAATGCTCCCAATCTATGTTGTGTTATTTTATAATTAGAAATTGTCGTTCTATTTGCCTTTTCTGGTTAATAAAACCGAAAAGCCAACAGTCTCCGTTGTGAATTAACCAATATATATTAAAGACGAGTTTAACAAGGAAATATTTTTAATTAGCTCAACACGGCAATTTTAAATTAAATAAGGTCGCGTTATTTCTGGTAAAATCACGAGGAAAAAATTCTTAAATCTGCATTTATTTGGTTGTTTGCGTTTCGAGAATTGACTTCAACAGATTGTGACAAACAGCCTTTCATGTATCCAGGAGAATGGGAGGAGCTTTGTCAGTCCACTAGTAAATATAAGCCATTTTTCTGTATTTGATCCGTGTTTGAGATGGCTTCAGTAAAACAGAACTACACGAGCCCTAGAAGAGTAGTAATACAAGCGTCAATATCTACGGGTGCCTCTTGGGGGGATTGGGACAAGAAGGCGGCAAACACTTCAGACTAACTGTCTTTTTACTATTCAGAGAGAATTACGAAATTTAAGATTTTTTGCAATAAGTGCATGCCTCGATCCCAACATGCCAAGGGTAAGGTCCGAATGATCGACTCTCGTAATTCCTTTGAGAGTCAGTCGTTAAACATCGGTGAATCTATTCCTGGTGCTATCTGATTGGCTACAGTGCTCGCTATCTATTCTGTGATAGACATTGAGTAGAATAAGTGGCCCAAAAGTGTACAGCCGTTGGCAGAATGAATAGAAATGCGAATCTGTGTTGTAGCTAAGTTTTAAAAAAAAAATTTTAAATTAAAATTAAACTTCGCTATCGGTTTCTACATTTTAGTTCACTGGGGCTTCGTCGTCATGAGCTTTCACGCGACGTAAACCTAAGTCGAGTTCATCATCATTGTAAAATGTTTACTCCATTTTCTTAAAGTACCATGGAAAATATCAACTGAAAATACAATTCGTTTGAAAATAAGAATACGTGCGTGTTCATGAAGATATGCGTGATGGAAAAGATTAACTAACTTCGACTTTGATTGTTTTTCTTTTGTTTTTCTTTGATTTTGTGGGAATTGCTTTGGAAATGGTTCATCGTCGTACAAAAATGTGACAATTGTAAACAGTTTTACAATATCGCCATAGTAAAAGACACACACGCTTTGCAACTGTTCTCCCATCAAATAAAACTTTGTTTTTCATGTTTAACTCTTTTCCAAGAAGACATTCTTTTTTATTTAATCAAGGTACATTGTTTGCGCTTAGGTAAGAGTCAGTTTACTTTTCCAATAAAACTTCCGTGTCAAATTTACTAGCTTCACTTGCACAGAGTACATCACAACATCAGCATCATATACCTGCATCACTTCCGAATCCGAGAAAAATTGGAAGATTATCCGAGAAGTTGTCACAGAAGCACTTGGTATCGTGTTGCAAGAATGATCTTTAAATTTCTTTTCATCGTTACCATTAGCAGTGTAATTGCAAACGGTAGGCCTATCATTGATTTTCTAAGTTAAACCTAAATGGTAGGACAACTTCTTGGTAATACAACGACCAGTTGCAAAAAAAATTGAGACACATTGAGCAAAAACTTTGTTTACCTCCTACTACAGATAGCTAACAAGTAATTGTGTGCTAAAAAACCAAAAGCTTCCCCCCTTCCCCGATTTAATGTTGACCATCAAAGTTTTTTCATAGTACTGCTTAGTTAACAACATTGCTAAGGGGGAAGAGGTGGAAAACATTATTTTGGATCACATGGTGAACAATTATTGCTTGTCGTGGTAACCTGTCTCAACTACTTTTGCGACTGGTTGAAACTCGGTCTCTTCGAAAGCAGGGGGGTAGCTTTGTAAAGAAACTGTGTTAAATCGCTCTGACGAAGGGCTAACGCTCGAAAAGTCAGCTTTGCTACTCTTTACGGTGACCAATTTACGTTATCAACTCAGTTGATAATACTAAATTGGCTTCTTTGAAAGCGCTCGCGTTTAGTAAATTAAAATACGTATTGAAAGATTGGTCAACGTTTTGGACGCCAACTTGGAATAAAATCTAGATAAAATCTATTCACATGATGAAAACGCGATCGAAACGCGCCTTGACTATATGCAATCAAATTGCTTGGTAAAAGTTAATGATTTGATGCCGATTTTTATCGAATAAACGTCCGCGCTAATTAATCTCTGAGTTCATTAACTAACCAAAGTTTAGGAAAATCATCGCTGCTTCTATTATCAACCATTTGAACTGCCAAGCAACGATCTGCATCCTGAAAATATGCTACTGCAATTTAAATTTAAACGGCAACAGATGTTTGATTCGTTTCTCAAAAAAGATACATCTCAAATATCAAATATGGCTCAGTGTTACCTAAAGGCGTCCATACACCCATAACACAAAGTTGTCTGTCAAAGGGTAATGAGTTCAACTACGCAAACTGATTCATATTTTAGAGGTCAAATTATCTTGGATCGAACGTGCATTCTGTACTTTATGACGTCATGTATCGTTACAGTAAGGATTCTCACTCAGCTTTACCTACAAGTAATTCAATGGTTGGCAAATTTCTAGCGTTTCAACTTTCTTTACAGCTCTGCAAGAGGACGATTGGAAACAGCTCAGTTTGTTTCCAGTGTGTGTCAGGCCAAGAGATAAAGGTTATGGCCATTTGCAGTACCACGGCAAGAGTAAACTGGTAGCAGCATTGAAACTGAAGCATCAGACTGGGAAGATCAGGTGAGAAAAATGCTGTGCGTCGTGCCTCTGGTTTCAGGCTCGGAGCCTGTCTAGGACCACGGTTGTGTTTTCAGGCAGGGTCATTCCCATCCGCAATGCCTGTCGATTTCCAGCCAAGACTGGCGAAAGTACCAGTGAATTGTCAAAACCTCCAGATGACGAAAGTGTTCGGAGCAAGTTAACACCGGTAATAAACTTGCCTACCATCTAGTGTAATACCTTTCTATCTATATGTTTATAAGACAAGGAAAGCGATGCCTCAACAATGCCTGCATCTGATACACTGTTCTCTATGCGAGGAATCCTTCGAACTCCTTACTATGTTTCCACGAGGCTCGACAACTCTTTCCTTATTTTTTCTTGCAAAAGTGGCTACATACATCAAAAGGGTATGGAAGCCATGATAAGTCTATTGGGAATATAGTGGGGGCGCAAAGGCCGGTGGTTGATTACGCTTTTTTTCTTCAAGCGAATCAAAAAAAGCTTTTTATCAGATCTGGAAATGTCTTACTCGGCATTGGCCAAACATAATAGCCCTGAAGAAATCAGAAAGCATGATGTAGCGTCCATATTCAACTATATAATTGCGAGACTTTCTAATTGCTTCCTAAAGGTGTACCAATAATGAGGCTTTCGACAGCAATTGGGGCTGTGCCAAAGAGAATGGATTCAACATCATTGTTACCGACGAATCTAACCATGTGATCTATCCGCGCGAAGAGCTTATCAAAGATTCTTCTGGAATGTGGTATTACCTACCACTGGCTGACGCAATGTAAGAAGGAAATCTTCAATATCTAGATCTATGATTGCTAATCAAGTTAAATCATAAAAGTTGCCAGCCATCCAATTTTTAATTAACACAGTTAATCAGTCAGTCAGTCAGTTGTTTAGAAAGTCTGACAAACCGACTTTTAGACATAATTTGGTTTTATCACTTGAGTTGATAATGTAAATCAGCCACCGTGAAGAGTTTCTTAGCTGACGCTTCGAGCGTTAGCCCTTCTTCAGTGCGAATGACGAAGGGATAATGCTCGTAACGTCAGCTCAGAAACTCTTTACGGTGGCCAATTCACATTATCAACTAAGTTGATAATACTAAATTACCTTGTTATACTTCCCCACCGACGCAGCACCACGGTTTCTTTAGAAACTGACCTCCTTTATTCAGGCAGTCAGTCGGTTAGTCAAACAATGTAAGGCAGTCCGACAGACAGGCAGTTAGTCGGAGTCAGACTGACGATCAGAAAGCCAGTCAGTCAGAGGATCAGTCGGTGAGTAAGTCGATCAAACAGTTCCTCGATGAGTCAGTCTGTAGGGGACTCAGTAAATCAGTCAATCAGTTATTCCGCGATTCAACCAGTCTGTGGGTCGGTCTGTTAATTAAAACTTTGAGTGCACCTCTGGCTCCGTTTAAGTCGCCCAAATCCCTTTTCAAACAGTAAGTAGCTCAGCCTGTCGGGATGTCAATTTGTAAATCACTCAGTATTTTAGTAAGTCAGACAATGAGTCAGCCATTGCCCCAGTCTCTTAAGTCCGTTAGTTACAATTGGTCGACCTCACACTCGGCCATCCAGTCGACATTTAAGAAAGTCAGCCAGTTAGTCAATCAGTGATTCAATCAATCTGACAGTTAGTCAGTCTATCAATCGGTCAGTAAATCAATCAATAGGCCAGTCAGTCAATCAGTCGGTCAATCAGTCAGTCAATTGGTCAGTCATTCAGTCAGTTAGGCAGGCAGTCAGTCAATCAGCAGTCGGTTAGTCCCTTGGTTAATCAATAAATCAATCAGCCAATAAGTCAATCAATCTATGACCGATTCGTTTGATAAATCGATTCAACCTTTCAGTTAGAATCTCTCGCTTCCTTTCTTGTCCCTCAGCTAGTACTAAAGAACAATCTATCTTTTATTAGAGACTCGACTGAGATTGTCTTCGAGGACTTTTGCCATCCGTTTTACTTGCAGCAGTATGGAAAACTAAGGTTTTGGTACGGGGAAGACTTGAAGAAGCACAGTGACACTGACAACCAGGGGCAAGTCTGTTTCGACGTTCTGGCGCTGTTCATATAATCTCTTGGAAAAGAACAGCTTTATGAGAAATTTGGCGGGTTTATCTAACATTCATGTAATTTTAGCATGTTTAAAGTAAATGGGATTTAATAAAGGAATTTATGGAAATACAGGTTGTTCTATTATGTTACAAATGGCCGAAAAAAAGACTCCTTCAAGCACGGGTTGGTTCTTACTCACGAAAAAGAAAAAGGAGCTCTTTTTGGTCTAAGAGTTATAATAATATGCTCGTATCAGTTATGTTTCTCTCTCAAGAGTGCAATTTGAACTAATGCAAATCCGAAAGCCCCATTGAAGTCCTCTTATCTTCCTTGCAGGCTCCTCATTTCAGAAACAAAAGCAGTCCTACTTAGGGGCTTCGCCTGAGGCTGACCAATGATTCATATCAACAACGTCATATAAGACTCTTTACGAACCACAATGCACTTGTTAAACTAGTTTTCCTTTACTTTCATTAGGCTTACTTGTCTAACACACAACGAAGTGTCCCGATCTCTCTCGATTCTGGACAAGTCGTACTTTTCTCTTCTCCCCAGATCTCCGACACTCACGTATTCCATGGACATACCTTCGGCCAGATACGCACTCGAGGTGGTGTTGCTTCCCCAGGAACGCACTAAGCTCCCTGCGGGCTTGAAACAGCTCTGAAGAACATCCTTATTAGCGCGTCGGAAATTTTTGTTCAGGACTATGTAGAGATAGGGATTTATGGCGGAGTTAAGGTGTGATATGCCAAACGCTATCAACATTATTATAGGTGATATCGCATTGTAAATTTGTAGATTGAACTTTGCCAATAAGTGAATCACTTGCGCAGGAAGCCAGAAGAGGGCAAAAACAATAACGATAATGACGAGCATTTTGATAGTTCTTTTCTTGCTCGCTTCTGCATGCCTGATGTTTGTAGCTGATGGATTCCCAGGGATTCTTCGCACCCAGAGCTTCAATGAAACGATGCTGTAAAAGATGGCGATGAGGAACAGTGGAACCAAGTAAAGAGAAACGAAAATGAAAATAAAATAGGTTCGGAACGCCTTGCTGTGATCAGTAATGGGCGGTTCCCATCGCTGAACGCAATGATAATTATTGTCCCCCCCTAATAGCACTTTGTGAGCATACAAATACGGTGATGCAAACAAGATCGACAAGGCCCAGACGATCGAGCTCATCACAGAAATCTTGCGGATTACCTTAGGACGATTAAACGGGTAAACTACAGCGAAAAAACGGTCCAACGCAATTACCACCAAAGAGAATATAGAAGCTGCAATGGACAATGGAACTGAAAACATCAACAATTTGCATGTGACCGTTCCCAAGACACCTCCAAACCATCGAGTCTGTATGAAGGTGTAGGCGACCACATAAGGCATGGCGCTAAATGTCATAATAAGATCTGCTGTGGCCATGTTCGCAATCAGGCAGTTGGTAACTGATCGCAGGTAAGGTTTACTCCACACAATGTAAATCGTCATGGAGTTTCCGGTTAAAGAAAACAAGAACATCGTACTGTAGACGACGGTAATTATAACTTTGTGCGCATATGTTGGGAGTTGTGGAATATTATTCCGCCAAGCCTGGGTGTCATTAAACGAGTCTGGAAAGTAACATTATAATGTAAGGTTAATAACACAGTCACTTTAAGAATTCGTCTAATCATATAATCATTGTTTTTAGTCCGTTTCGGTCAACCTAACTCAGTCAATAAGCATTTTATCTTATCACCACTGACTTTTGAAAATTTCTAAAATTTTTGTATCAACTTAAATGGAATGCTATAGACGGGCACACACGGGAAAAACACAAAAATTGTACAATTAAAGCTTTCCCTTGTCTTTTAGAGGCAGAAAAAAACATTCACGATTTTATGGAAAACTCGCCTTTTTTTTACTCTTTTCCTTTTTTTAAGTTCTTGTAACAAAGCCGTGTGAGTGCGGGGCCGGACGGCCTTTTCCTTATTCGATCTTTTAAAAGTGCGAAGACAAATTGCAGAGAAAAAGCGACATCGTTCGAAGGATATGAAGGACATTTCAAAAATTTTAATAATCATGATTTACTTTTAATTAAAAGCTTTCTAAATTAGGAAATGGCTGAAAAAGTCGCAAGAAACTTACTGCCCTAAATTTGCAGCATTCTATGTCCACGCTGACAAGTGCCCGAGAGAGAAGGAACAATTAATCTCTAGAAGATGTTAACGTCATCCTATCACCATTTCAATTCGGCGTCTAACTTGCAGCTCGGTTATGCCCCAGTTACTGAAACCCTGAGGCGAGGCGTTACGTCGATCATTTTCATTCAAGGATAGCATGTTTCATCTTTTTTCACCATCATTAAAGCTAATTTCCTCAACAGAGAGAAGTAATGTATTTCGTATAGGATAACTGCTGATCAGCGGTTTTTTAACCATTACCAAAAAGAAACGCTTGGGTCTTTCAGTTAAACTGCTCTTTGCCATTCCAACATTTATTTTAGCAGGAAGATAAGATTTGGAGGTGTATCACTTAATCAGAAGCCGTATAGATACGAAAGAAATCTCTGTGCCATGTAATCAATGATTTCCCCGGGGATGTTATTTCTTTTCCTTCATCAATCATTTGTTTTCTTTCAATGAAAGTTTGGTGTTTTTTTTTTTTTGGTTTTTTTTTTCAATTTTTCTTAACATATGTAATACGGGCAGGTCCATTTAAGGAATAGTTATCAGCATTTGATCTCTCACTAGCCGACTCTGAAAGGCGCAGTTTTCATTTCCTTTGCCTTCATAAAAACTACGTGGGGGTTTAATCTCTCGATGGATTCTACGGGGGTTAGATTTTGAAACTGACTTCCAATGTCATGTCTTCTAAGGCAGTTGAGTGTTGATAAGTCAACCGAATTGAATGAAAATGTAGGCGAATTGATAAATCTGACGAGTTGGGGGCGACTCAATGCCTTTTTGCCTCAAATATTGTTTTACAGGAGCGATCAAATGTACATTGAAAAAAATCTTTTATGGATCGGAAGTTTGCGATCACGCACGAGACCTTAAATATACAGAGTACTCAAGCACTTGCTATGAAGTCTTTATAGTTGAAAATTTATATCTTTAACGGAACTGCTATAGAGAGTTTTAATATACCTAGAAATGTTTGGGGAAAGCTAAGATCTGGTGTACCCTTCCTCGACTTTAGGAAGTCCTCGACTCGAATATTTGTCTAGGATTGTAAACAAAGATTGCGAATATTCATTTTCCGCGTAGTGCTGAGAAAGAAACTGCGCGGGAAGCCTTTAGAAACTGTTCTTTGAAAGATTCCCCCTACGCTAAAAAGATCTTAACTTTTAATTTTATTTTACTACCTTTCTTCACAATTTCTCTCATGGAAGGAAATATGATAAAGCAATTGTTATTTCAAAATGAATAGAAGTCACAGTATAACTACCTATTACGGCGATAATTTACTAAACACAACCCACGCCTGCCTGCATGTATGATACTGCCTCAGCTCGGAATTTGCTTAAAATTTCGTTCTCGTTATCACCCTTTTTTGTTTTAATCGTTTATTAAGTAACACTTGTTGTTTACCAGTTTAGTTCAGGCACTCACTCGTAGAGTATTCTGTCCGGCAAAGTCTGAAGAAAATGCACCACAGTCAAACCGCCAAGACTTAACATATTTGCCCAGCTTCATGGTGGATATTTTGAATAAGACATGCAGTATCTCTAAGACCGTCGTAAAAACTTACCATTTGAAACAGAAACATTCATTCTGATGCTTCAAGTTTCCTTTCAGCAAACCGTCTGCTTTTTGACTTGAAATGCCTTCAAAAAAAGGGTTGACTGACGTTATTAAATGGTTTTTAACTCCAGAATGCGTTGCAGAAAATGACAAACATGGTGAATGTTCAGCCGCCTTTTAAAACCTTTCATTGGCCGATTTCCGCGCGAGATGATATGCCAGCGTTTGAAAAAATTAAACCGATAAGAAATCTTCCTTTATTTATTTTAGTTCATGAAATAATTGCTATTGTTAAAATTCGTGAGAGAAAGATGATTTCATCCCATTTGTGTTTGATGGTCTGACAGTGCCATTTTTAAAAAATAAAAAAGGTATTATCCGGTTTTGACTCGTCAGAGAACATTAAACACTACGCAAAGTAAATAGTTGGAAATGTAGAAAAAGGATTTAAAAACAAACCAAAACATTTAAACCAGAATGATACACAGAAAGGGAAAAGGTGTAAAAAGACGAGACAAAACTAAATAAACAAACAACCAATGCATTTTGCCCATGAATCCATTACTTGCTTTTTCAATCAACAGCACGATCTAACCTCCCCGTTTAGAATCCAGTACGTGCACAGTATAAATTAAAGGTTCTAGAGTAAAACGTGCCATGCATCGAAGAGAAAATTACTTCTTAATCTTCCGAAATGATATTTGCCCTTCCAGTACCGATAAATAAATGTAATGAAAGGGAAACATGAGAAGTTTGCAATTTGGTCGGCGACATTGTAATTAACAATTATTCACCACTTTCACCCACACTGAGGTAAATAATCATTTTAGTATATACCACACAGAAACCAAAATAAAAATGTTAATTTTTGTCAATATACCGGAAAATTGGCGGAAATCAAGATCGCAATTTTTTTCTCTTCGCCTGCACAGAGTTGAATAGTACTTGTTTATCTTCTTCGAACTAGCCAATCAGCGCGCGTGAGATGGACTATTCACGTGTTGTAGATACTTATTGTTACCATTAATATGGTCCAATAATTGACACAGTGATACAAGGTCACGGAACCACGGAGACATTCAAAGGCCTCTCATTAAAATAAACGTGCCCAGATTGATTTGCTCGACGTTTTATCAAGCGACAAATAAAGTATACTAAAAGAGCGTGACCAATCCATTTTGCTGATGTCATTAGACAGTGTGTGTGCGTAGTATTACGTACTGAAGAAGGCAGCGCTGACAAAATTTGTCGAGAAAATGGTTTAATGGTTGTAAATTTAGTTTTTTTGCCCACTTACCCTGCTCTACGAGGAAGGAAGTTACTCGAAAAGAGCCATTAGCAACCGTAATTGATTTACGCTGATCATAAAACTTTGTTTTATTGTAGCTAATAATGTGTAAAATTGTGTGCAACTCCAAAAATTAAAGACCATTTTGGAAACATTAAGTTCTTTCTCTAGTTGTTAAGGTTTGTAAAAGAAATACTAATTTTCAAAATGGCCATAATTTATCCATTTTCAGTTCTTTTTGTGAATTTCCGGTCAAAGTCGACTTTAATTAATCAAACAGAATTACACGACATTTAGGCTTTCTAAAATATAGGTACATCATTCTATTTTGGCGATGGTCAAGGGCAGAGAGGGAAATGAGGAAAAACCGAACGTCTAATGAGCATTTAGCTCCTCTATTAAAAAAAACCGGAAATTTTTTAGTATTGAAACTTTGATTAATTAAGGCCCTCCAAGATTTCTACGCAACATTCGATTGGCAATGTCTTTTTTCTTGTAAAACGAATTTCCAGGTTTTTCTCTGTTCATGTCTCACGATGGTTATCGCATGAACGTGACTGAAAAGATGATAACTCGTGCGTGATTGGAATTTTTAAACATGGATAGGTGAACCTTAAGCTTTGAGAATTCGTGCATTCACGAATCAGTGTCTTTTCAATAAAAGACTATTTTTTTGGAATATGAAAGACGAAAAAAATATCCTATGTATGCGCCATGTACTCATATGTAAGCCAAAAACTATCGTGAAAGGAATATTGCGAAACACATTTACACTACTTAATAGTGCATGGAACCTGCCTGATTCTGTTTGCGATAATCTGATAATCTAAACTTCAATTTTTCTCGTCGTCAATAACAAGCCATACTCCAAAACAACTGTCAATTAAGCTGGGTCGCTATGGAGACCACATTATGTCAATTATTTAAACGCTATCCCGATTATGACGTAAGAAGGTTAGAAAAGTGATAGTTAATTTTGCAGTTGTCATGGTTACAATTTCCTCAAATCAAGGTAATCCTTGTCAGTTTGTTACGTAATAGGCATCACTGGAATACAGCCCAAAGTAAGGCCTTATTTCTCCTTTTTTTTTTCCTTTTTTTCTTCCCAAAAGGGAGGGAGGCACTTAACTCAGCGCGAGGCGTGCTAAAATAAAATTTATAAGGAAAGCTGTATCTGTTTTAAATCTCTAAACTGCCCAGCTTGGAAACACGAAGCAAGTCCCTAATTTTCCTTTTCTTTTTATTTAAGTGGAGAGAGGCACTTAACTCAGCGCGAGGCGTGCTGAAATAAAATTTACAAGGAAAGCTGAATCTGTTTAATTCTTTAACTGCCTAGCTTGGAAACATGAAGCAATTTATCACCGAATTCTGTGTCTTCGGTGCTGTTAGCACGCGTAGCACATGGATCAAATCATTTATCATGACTACGACTTCTACACATATATTCAATCTGGTTTGAACCTTCACGCATCGATTTCTCCAACCTTACTGAACACTTTACGAGGAAGAATTTTTCGGATAGCTTTCGCCGAATTGCTTGCCGATTTTAACATACTTTGGGCTGTACAGTTTAAGAAAGCAGATGTCGCAGTTCATAGTAACCCAATCATATATACCCTAAAATCGACTCGAGTTTTTTTTTTTTTTTTTGTGACAAGAACTGCTTTACAAATAACACAAACTGTTTAAAATACCTTTTCTGAAGCTTTAGATGGGACGATTCCTCGTTTCCTTTTTCTCACAAATAAATGATATGCCAGCAAAAGTGGAAGACATCATGTATATGAGGAGACAACTATGCCAATCAAAACACTATAAATCCCTTCTCATCTTGCGCTCGTAATTCTATTTACTATGTTGCAGTCAACTTCTTGTTTATATCCCGAATTAATTTCCGGTTTAAGAGTGTTTGATTTCGTTCGCTTGCAATATTTGTTTTTTTTTTGTTCTTTTTTTTAGCTCATTTTCTTTTATTTATCATTTATAAAATAAATGTGTTTTGTCACGTTGGTAAGATGAACAACAAAACTATAGACCAGTTACAAAGGGGGTGCTTTTGGCAATTTCGTGATTCAAAAATACTCAGATCAGAATAATAATGACGAACTAAATGAATCGACATTAGTTTCTGGCTGAAGTCGTTTGAGAACTTGATTTATTTTATTTCACCTGCACTGCTTTTAGTTATGGCGGTCGATATATTTTGCTTTCACTGCAGGAGGCCAGCTCAGGATTTTGTTTGGATTAAAACGCCTGTTTATTTCTAGAAAGTAAATTAAAAGTGTGTTTGAAGTTCTGAACGGAAGCTGTCATGTCAATATTGATTTCACCCGCACAATTTTAAAAGCATAAGCCGATTTTGGGGCGGTCGGCAGAGTTAAAGCAAGCCCGCTGGAGCAATTTCGAACACGCAAAGTATGAATGACGATTATATCAGCTTTTAGAACCTTTATCAGCAGTAAACGTAATTTCCTTTTTCAAATAGAAAAAAATGTAAAATTACAAAATGTAATTTAATAAGACTTTCAGTTTCATTCAAATGCGCCCATCTTCCGTTTCTTTGACGTCATCATCACAAAGTTTTCTTTGCCTGTTTCGAGACCAAATGAAATTTCGCTGAGAGACCGACCACTTCTATGTTATTTAATTTTTTTGTTTATTAGAATAAAATCGATAAGAAGTAGCAGAAATAAGAGGAAGGGGAAGGCCAGGGGAAATGAAAATTATTCGACGGGCGCATGAAAGTCAGTCGCAGTCTGGTAACAATTGCAATTTCGCTTTCTAAAGTACATCTCGTAAGAAGGAGGAACCTTTTGCGTAACCAAGAAATTTTTTTCTTATAGTAAAAAATGGAAAAGTGTTACAGAATATTTTCCTTTACGATATGTTCAATTACAATTTCGCTTTCTAAAGTACATCTCGTAAGAAGGAGGAACCTTTTGCATCACCAATAAATTTTTTCTTACAGTAAAAATGGAAAAGTATTACAGAATATTTTCCTTTACGATATGTTCAATGCCTCTTTTTTGTTAAATGAAATAAGAGAGAAAGCGAAACGGTCTTTGAAAATGTAAGAATTACCTATCATTACGGAAGATGCGACACTTTATTTTACCAAAAAACTGTAATTCATTAATAAATGCCTCGAGATTTTAGGATTGTTCATATTCAGAACCAAGAGACAAAAGTTCTATTTTAGAAATCGTACTTCGTAGATGAGAAAAGATTTGACACGATCAAGGGCGGCTGGGGAGAAAAGAGGGGGGGGGGGTTATTTGTATGAGCCTTTATTTTTAGTTGATGACGACATGGAGGTCGACATGACAATTTGTTGAGTGCCCTCTGTTGGACAAAGTGTGACATTCCCCCCCACCCTCCTTCCCCTTTGAAAACTCCTGGCTACGCCCCTGAGGATGTAATTTTCTTTTTTTGTTTTTCATTCGTGAAAGGGCGTGATTCATTAAACTTGCTTCCAGTATTGGTAGTGGTTACTTAGAAAAGTAAACGGGCATCCAACATATACGCAAAGAGGGCGGGGATCGGTTAGATGTAACATGCTGGGTGCATAATTATCAGTAGCCGTCTGGTCAAAAATACGCTTTCGTTTCTTTCAGTACACCTCTAGAGGGAAGACTCTAATGCATAACTAAGCAATGTTTCCTTTTCGAAAAATGGACACAGTTACTGCAAATCACGTTCTTTTTTTTTTTTTTTACTTACTATGCGAAGATCAAGTCTTTATTTGCCCATAGCTTCCCTCGTGAATGTGCAGAAAATGATAAAAAAAAAAAAGAAATGGATTTTGGAAAGGTAAATACATCTATTTTTCCGGAAGATGCGAAGCCTTCTCTAACCGAAAAACTAGCATTAATTTGAACGAATGCGTCGTGTTTTATAGGATTATTCAAAACAAAACGCAAAAGGAAGCGAAAGAAGATGTTTTTTGTTTCGTCAATAATACTCTTAATAAGTTTTTTTTTCCTTTTTTTTCAGAAGAGTCTGATTCTAAAATTTCCTTCCAATTTTGGACCCGTTTCGTTAAAAAAGTAAAAGGAGCTTCTGATATAGTTGAAAATGTGGTTGAACTTTGATATCTCAGAAGCGCCGAGTCGTTTGCGTAAAAAAATTGCGAATGCCTATCGTAGGTGAAGAAAACAAAGAGCATAGTGAAGACTACTCCAGCGAATAATGTATGTAAGTGAAAATGTTCCTGCTCGATATTTTATCTCCAAATAAGAAAAAGTTAACCAGCGACCGGTAATATAAGCTTACCTGGTGTTAGCACTTTGTGATACCCCACGTAAGACTCAGATCATAAACAGGAAGAGAGCCAGCGTGCTGGAAAATTCTAGAGCTCGCAAGACGTTAATCTACATTGGAAAGCGTTCGGAATGAAAACTTCCTAACTCTTAAGAGCCTCTCTCATTAAAACAAATTCTGAATCTGAAGTTGACAGACTAGAATATACTAATTAAAAAGTACGTGTAATCTACGTCAAAATGTATAATCAGCTGGTGTTTTCTCACTTAAAAGAACGAAATTTCTGACACTTTAAGTAGCTTTTTTTCCATTGAAATCCATTAAGAATTGTTCATTTTGGGGTTCCATGGTGTTATTGTTTGTATATGTCATTAAAGTTTGAACAAGCTGCAAAATGATCTTCAGCGGATCACAGATTTAGAGGTAAAGTTTATTTATTTGCGCGCTGGTGTCGCAAGCGCGTACTCGACCTTTAGCATAAGTTGAAAAACGGACAAAGGCTTAATTAGTCCTCCAGGATGTTAGATTTGAAATGAGAAATTTTTCTATCTCGCTGAAGGTGGCTTCCTTAAATTAGATGCGGCTTTCATAGTCTTTCAAAACGGAGCTAACAATCCAATCTTTTAACAAATATTGCTCATATATGCCCTTTTAACATAAACAGCGACCAAAACATTTTGTATCTAAATGAGGATATTCCTTTTTGTAAAGAACAATTTACGTCTTCTTAAATATCGATGTATTATTCGTAATGTGATCAAAATTCGTCGATTTAATTTCAAAGATGAATACATTACACATCAGTAATACGGCTCCTTCATACGTTTCTAGTGGAAGTTGTATATAAATGCTAGAATAACCTCCCTCTACAGAACCACGAAGTACAGTGAGAGCACCACCGTATCCACTGCAAGGATGGGAGGGTACAATCTTACGCTTAAATGTATTGGAAAATTGCTTTAACCTTTGAAACCGTAAGAGGCCCAGCATCTAATTCTCCTGGCAGTAACAGAGTGGAATCATTCTTTAACATCATAAGAATAAAAAAAAATGATCACAAACATAAGAAGTTTTGATTGTTAGAAAAATTATCCATGTCATTGCCGAAGAAAGGTACAATTGAAGAGGAGATGTTGACGCTGATGTTAGGGTGGAAAGGCAGCTTGAAGTGGCACTTGGGGAATCATTCGTTTCTTGTGTTTCGCCTTCCCTCATTCTTCATTTCTGACAATTTTAGCACACACACACACACACAATAACTTATTGCTTTGCGCACAAAGAGCGCAATGTTAGAACAGTGAAGAACGTAGTACTCGTCCCTAAGATTATATCAAATCCTTTAAGCTAACATCTCGTATCGCCCACTCAAATATCTCGCTGTTTTGAGATAAATCTTAACCAAATAAATAGATTATTTCCGAAGCAAAATTTCTATCTTAAATATTAAAGGAAATAACAATCTGTTCAACGGATCTTTAGAGTGTCTTACTTTACGCTTCACCCAAAACAGATCAGATCAAACATTTCGTTTTGAAATTGCAAGAAATCATTATTATAAATCCAACACTTAAAAATATTTGAATAGCATCTTTAATAGTTAACCTTGAACACGACTTAGTCCCCGATGCACCGTTGGCTGGAAATCGTGATCACTTCAGCTGGACTGACCAACAAGGCCTTACAACCAGAGTAAATTGAGTGCACAGAATAACTTTTAACTGTGAGTTAATCAGTATAAAACAGCTGCCTTCTATTCTTTAATCTTTTTTATACGATTCTCAGTTCTCCGAGTTTTTCTGAATACCTAACATTTACAGCAAAACTATAGATCAGTTTAGACAAGTACGCTTTTCACATCGAGAAAATTTAGGAACAGCTGCCGTTTGATAACTGGTCTTAGTTTCATTACAATAAGTTTAGTTATGACGGTCATTAATTTCAATTTCACTACGGGAGGCAAATTTCTAATATGGATGATAATAAAATCGTATTACCAAAGCCATGGCAATGACACTTCATTCAGTACCTTTCATTCCATTTGTAACGAGGTCTGTAGTTTGTCAAAACGAGTTGTCTAAGGGTTCCACTTAGAGGCTTCGCCGAACCATTAACATGCTGCGAGTCATTTGAAAATATAGAAACACGATACGAAGGCAGGTGTGTAATGGTCTTTCAGCCGGTTATTTTTCATTTTTCTGGCAGACCTGAAAATGTGTCATGAGTTTTCTTGAAACTGATATGGTAAAATTTTAATTCTTTTTAGTTCTTCATGACAGAACGGAACTTCGAAATTCTGAGCCTCGCTGGTTTAAAAGGTAAATATTAAAAAAACCAAGTTCAAAATATTAAAAACTGGCATAATAAATATTAAACTTAACCTTATTAATAACGACAAACCAGAGAGTTTGGATGGGTAAATACGTGTTGACGCCGAAACTCAAACGCACAGAACAGGAGAATATTCCTACAAAGACGAAAAAAAAGAGAAAAGATTGGGAAGGAAGCATTGACACCAGCCGGTTATTTATAAAAACGTGGCAGACATTGTAAAATTCTAATATAAAATAAAAAAGGCCAAAATGTCTGTAGCTTCATAATGTAACATTCAGGGTAATGGCAGATTATCTGAATACTTTCAATGGCGGAGACAAGACTTGTTAGGTCCCTAGCAAGTAAATTCTGGAATGGAATTGCGGAAAACACTTCAGAATCTCAGTGGAATGGACCACGTGTAGTTCGAACAAAGTAACAGTTGTTGTGAACACAAAAAACTAGCATGATTAGTCTCAATACGGTTGAGATCGATCCATAAGTTTTGTAGCGAACGCACCGGCAAATTTCAAAACGGTTACACGAACCATACAATTTATTCGTAACCAGTGGTCTCGGAAACAAGATTAACTTAAATTGCACTACAGCCAACTACCGACAACAGTAATGACGATCACAAAGCGAAACATCAAACGGTAAAAGACAACGCAAAACGTACCTGACGGTTTGGATAGAAGGAGTACACGAGATGCAGCAAAGAAACGATCACAGCACGACAAACTGCATAACATTACTGTTCTTTCTGCGCGAAAATTTCAATATATGTATACGGACGCGAGGACACTGAAGCCTAATTGCAGATAAACCGCTGACCCTTAAATTTGTTGTTACAAGTTTGTTATTACAAGTTTCGACTTAACACAAGTAAATGCTGCAAACAAATAGATAAAAAACAACAGCACAAAAGATGAAATATAAGCTACTAGTATTGTTTGAAACCTTGACCTTCCAAGATCTAAATTCAGATTTTCCTAATACATGAGCATACATCTTTGTTGATTGGCTATGAGTATTAAGTGTTCTATCTATATCCATATAATATGCACAGCAACATGGACTCTACTATTCTTACATAGTGAAGAACAAAATCTTGTTTATGATGGCACCCACCTACAAAAGATCATGAGTGAGGACCAATCAAAAAGCCTGTTTGATTCAGCTTATCATATCATAAATATTAAAAGTCAAAGCAAACTGAGTGAACAGAGTTTATTGCAGTTTTGTTTGATATCACATTAAGCTGTGACGATCTTCCACATCCAGCTTCCCTTCAAGGAAGGATTTTCATCTGGACATTTCATCAAATTCAAACAAAAAACCCAATGTTTGCTGTTACATCAGATCACAATAATTAATGCTGACAGCCACTAACTAGTAATTACAGTTATCTATGCCTACAGGTTCATTCTCCAAAAAATTTAAATCTTTATCTTGAATGTAATTTTTACAGATTCTACAACACTTTTCCTTCAAAACAAAGCAGAACCAAAAACATGTATTATTTTAAGTAGTTGTACATTTTAAATAATATATAAACTTGATTATTATCATTATTATAACAGCCTAATTTATCACCTTAGATTTTTTTACAACCTGTTTGTAGGACTTATTAATGCAATGTAGCTTTGTTATTTAGTTTTTTCCATTTACATAACTAGATGCTGTCCCACTGACTTGTTCCTCCTGTTTGGGGACAAACTGCAGTGAGTCAGAGAAGATTCAGAACCTTGAGGAGATTCCATCAGGGCCATCTTTTATGAATTCATGTCCTAGACCATTGCCACATTTACCACAGCTAACCTTCACAAGAGAAAATAAAATAAAACATGAATTTCACTTCCTTCAACATGGCTCAGATTTTGTTGATGGCAATTGCAAATAAGCCAGCTGATGTTACTTGAAAACAAAAAGCAGAGAAACACCAAGGAAAAAATCAAAGAAAAATAAAAACAATAAAAAAAAGAACCTCTTTGGATCTTACAATAACCACTTTGTTCCCTACCTGAGACCCATGTTATTAATCCTTTCACTCCCACGAGTGACCAAGACAGAATTTCTCCTTACAATATCAATACAATATCAAGCAGGCAGGTGATGAGAATAGAGAAGAATATCAATCATGGGAAAAATGGTTAATGCAACCCCTCCCCACTCCCCTCTCACCCTCTGCCTGATTTACCCATAAACTCCCAGAAGTGATTAACATATCCATTCAGCAAACAGGTAATGAGAATATTGCAACTTATCAAGAAGAAGCTGCTATCTTGATTTAGCACTAACTTCTCGTAACTACAAGGAAATGAGTCGCAGCTAGAGGAGAGAATTAACAATAAAACCAGAGACAAGGTTTTATAAACCTTTTGATCTCTAGGAATGACTAGCATCTAATTTCTCCTTAACCCTTTAACTCCCATAAGTGACCAAGACAGAATTTCTCCTCACAATATCAATACAATATCAACCAAATAAGTGATGAGAATAAAGAAAAATATCAATTTGAGGATAATTAGTTGATCTAATACTAAATTCTCTAAACTAACATTATGATAATCATATGGTTGACAGTAAGGAGAAATACAAATTTGATCTGGGAGTTGAAGGGTTAATAATTAATATCAGCCCTGAATCACATATTAAGATCACAAGAAAAAAGGGCCATGATCATCAACTAAAGAAGCTCTTGATTGTTAAACAAATTCTCCTTGTCAGCACCTCAAGAAAAGTATAGAGAACATTAAGGAGATTATGCATACTGATGTTAGGGTGTAGAGGGTGAAGAAATGTAGTGGAACATTCTCCGCATCTCAAGTTAAAATAGGTCAGTCCATTGTAATTTAGCTAGAGAATTCTATGTTTTGGTAAAAAAATTCTCCACCCTTAGATATGTGAATGAATGCACACAATTTGATTGCCATGGTGACCTTCTTGTTGGTGAGAATAATGCCTCCTCCTTTGTTGCTGTCCTAAGGGCATCTACCCTCCAATGTTACTGAATAAGAGTTTTTAAAAACAGGTAAAACTGTTCAGATGAGAGACTGCAGTATACTAACTAGAGGAAAAGTGTCAGAATGCATCTCACTGTACAACTACCTTTAGCGCTTTAGCCTTACTGCTTGTCTGAGGTTCAGTTTCATCAGCTTTTGACACACTGTCTGCTCTGATTGTCTCTGTAAATGCTGGCCAAGGTGTATTATGCTTGTATTTTGCCTTGGCACTGAAGAGCTTGTGACCACATTTGGGACAAATATAAATTCCTGCAAAGAGCAACAAAATGCAATCATCAAAATACCACACAAACCAAAAAGGAAATCACACTATCCAACCAAAACCCAGACAAAAAGAAACCAATCTCAACATTCAACCATTTCAGCACAACCAAAAGTGACCTACAAGGAAATTCTCCTTCAAATGTCAAAACAGCATTAACAGGAAAGATGATGAGAAGACATTAATAGTTCAACAAGGAGTTATTGTTTGATAAGCAAAAAACTCTTAGCTCCAAAATTGAAAGAAATGTATTGAAGACAGCAAGGAGAATTGATTTAGAGATATTTGGAATGGAAGCAAAGCAACATACTGAGGTGGCTGTTTAACCCCCTTTTCCCTCCCCCCCGGCCCCCCTCACCTCCCCTGTGGGCAGAACCCTCCACAAGGATGGAAGGAAACTCAGCTGATTCACACAAGAGAGGACTTTTCCATTGCTGTCCTGAAAACTTCCTCTTAGCACCAGTTAACTCAAGAAATAGATAGATTTTATCATCACAGACTCACAATTTATAAAACATCACAGTATTCAACAATGTTCCCAATGAAAAGTTCATGAAACAGAAGACACATTTTACAGACTTAAGTTGCTATAGAAAGTCATGGTCCAGATTTCACCTGTTAGAATTTTTAAAAAATCCAAGACAATTTTTATTTTATAAATAAGGAACACTCCTAAACCACCCCACCCCAACCCCCCTTCTCAGTACTCCCCCCTTCTCTTATGACTCGTGTTGTCAAGGCCTACATGTATAAATGACTCAGCGTTGTGGCTACGATATCAGCCGAAGCACGTCATCTTTTTAAACCACAACCTTTGGCTAGATGCATTAATAAATACTTTTTAAACCGCTCTAAAATTGCCAGCATGGCTTGGGCCTGATTTCGTCGCGTCTCTGATTAAGAAGAACAAGCGCATTCGTTCATTTGTACAAATTCCTCAAAACAAGTAGCTAATTTGCTACTTTTTGTATGTACCACAAAATGCAGAAATTTGAACTCTCCTGTTGAGATCGCTCATTTCTAGTCGTAATTTAAATTCTAATACTCTTGGATTTGTCGAAAAATCCTTTGTACCGACAAATTAAACCTACATAGTACATGCACGTAATTTAAATTTCGTCTGAACACTTGTTTGCATAATCAAAGCGAATAACATACTCGCGATCTCCATTGATCATGGCATTGCTGGAGAGAGAAAGAAAATATTATGGCTTACGACAGAAGAATAATATAAAATTAATACCAGCTTCAAAGTGGTTTCTGTATTTCTCGCCTCCGTCCCACGAGCAAAACGACATGATCGACTTCAAAACGGAAGTGGGATGGTGCCTGTGATACTTCTTCTACAGCGGTAACAAGCTTAGTCTGTTTCCGTTATGTAAGTTAGTATAACTGTCCCTGTCGCACTAGGGAAGTTTACGTTGGAAATTGCGGTTTTAAATTCTCATTCTGAGCACCTGAGTAAATGAAAATGGTTGTCCCTTTGTAGTTTTTATTTTTTCTTTATCAGCCCAGGCCAGGAGCCCATTAATGGCTCCTTGCTAGGCTAACGTTGGCAGTAGGTAGCACATATTGGTATCTAAAATAAGGTTTTTCAAGGAGCCACTACGGTAATGCTCCTGGTTTTGTAAACTAAACATTCAGAAGATAAACGAAACATATCTTGCATCTCCAGAATTATTCTGAAATCTGATGACCAGGTAGAGTGAGGATAAAGATTTTTTACTTTTTTTTTTCTGTTTTTGTTTTGGTTTTTCGAATGTTTTTTTTTTTACTGTCTTGTCCTTGGTAAAGTCAGTACAATATTATACAACGAACAAAAATTATTTTCCCAGGAGGAGGAGACTCGATGCAATTGCAGCAAAATTCTTCTCCTACGGAGAGAGGACTGGACACAAATGCCAGCAAAATTCTTTCTCAGAACAAGAAGACTTGATCAAATGACAACAAAATTATCTCCCCAGGAAGAGAGGACTCGACACAAATAGTAGCGAAATTTTTCACCAGGATTTGAGTAAGCGATTCAAATGGTAGCAAAATTCATTCCTGGATGAGGACTGGATACAAAATTCTGTCCTCAAGAGGAGATGTCGCGATTCAAAAGACATCAAAATTCTTTCCCCATGGGAGGAAGGCTATAAAGAGTCGCAAAATTCTCCCCGCAGGAGGGGAGGACTCGATACATTGGCAGAAATAGAACTGTTTCCTCGGGAAGAAAGGTTTGATTGCAAATATTGTCGACAATTTTTGTTAAGAAGCTAACTCGGCGTATTCAGTGGACCTTCATGGAACTCTGCTAGCAAAAGTACATGACTAAATGAGAAGATCAATCAGTAAGGGTCGAATTCTGTTTAACCGACCTTAATGAAAGAGATATTTGTAATACCATTTAGTTCCGTTAGGGCATTTAAGAATACACATGTTAAATAACTTTGTCTGAAATGGCTACAACGAGTCTTTCATGGAATATAACCTTTTTTTCTATCTTTTTGGCAACAAACCTTTTCGTCCTCCACGGGTTTTCTTAATCCTTTAATTTAACCTTTTGTCTTTGTTTAAATAGATAACAGCTTAAAATTGGCGTTGTTCGGATAAACATTAACTAGGATCCTTAATCTGCTTTGAGGAGCAAACGGGGAGAGACATTGGTCTAAATATTCCTTATCCTTTAAACAATCAAAACATTTTGTTTTACTAACGCACCTCAAGCGCAATTGTACTGAATTACCTTCTTTCAGACACTTTACTCACCAGACTTGAAATGTATGCCGTATTTCCTGAATTGTGCAATCAATTGTATGTGGGTTACTGAAAATGTCCTGGCCTTAATGATTCATCACTTCTCGCTAATTCAATACTTCTCTTGACTCCTTTGTCTTACTTTCCGTATTGAATTTGACAAATCTTCTCCATCTTTCAACCGCAACTAATCCTTTTGCAGATCATACCAGAAATCCGATGAAAAAAAAACCAGATTTGACTCACTTTCAATTATTTTTGTGATCGTTTTTTGATTTACCACAAAAAATTCCAATGGAAACCACAAGGCTATGAAAAAAAATCCAACGTACTCCAAAATGAAACAAAAAACGCGTTCTATTCTGTTCTAATAACATAAATAAAAGCCAGTCTTTTCAGTTTAGTCAAGTGCTGTTGACGGAGCTCTCTTCTCTACACGATAACACTGCTGAAATTTTTTCAACCTGTGTAGAGGGTCAAATTTGTTGGCGTCTTTCATATTGACACTTGTGATCTCACTCAAAAACGTGCTAACACGACGCTATTCTCAGCACCGAAAGCGATTAACTGAGCATTAACAAAACTGTCTATATTCTATTCACGATCAGTGCCAGGTGTTCACAGCAAGAAACCAAGATGTTGTTGTTATAGATACCCACCTTGTCACGCGAATCGTGACCAAGGAGTAGTATTGACCGGAAGGGAGACAAAAGACGTAAAAGATAACTATCTCATTCTGTAATAACCAGCGCGTGAACAAGTGAGAGGGCTATTTATTCAAGAACATTCAAGTTGCGTAAGGACATCACGAAAATACTAACATAACAACTCCGCTACACATACAATGGTAGGAACAGCGATTGAAACTTTGTTACGCGGCCAAAGATGTTACAAACTTTGTTCAGTTATTATTCGTTAACCTAGTTCTCTTAGCGATTTTGTCTGTCTTTGTTGTTACAGGAGAAGTGTTCCTATCATCCGGCCGCAGCTTATGAGCGACCACCGCTCAAAAGTCCGATGGTGAAGAGAAGAAAGAACGGAACAACTTCTAGTGTTAAAAATGTTCAAATTGCAGTTCTGGGAAAGGACGGTGTAGGAAAATCAGGTAAATTTACTCCTTACTCGGTCATTAAACCTCCGCTGAACTGTTAAGGGTTGTTAGCTATGTACTGAACAGTAGATCAGTTCTTACGCTCTACATAGAATCTTTCCGCAACAATGTTTACTAATAACTAGAAACTAACATTGAAGTAGAAACGAGTTTCACTTTCATTAAGATAGAAACCACGATGATTTCAGACAATGAACTAAAATAAACATAGCGGAAGCTTGGTAGAATCTCGAAAAGCTAGTTTAACCGCAACTAGTGAAATCACAAAACTGGCGAGATCATATCACATTGTTTGTGACCAAACAAAAAGCTTTAATATGTATCATTTTTGACAAGGCGTTGAATACGTCTCACTTTGTTTTGTAAAAGAAACCCAACATAGAAATGTTCATTAAAAATCTCCCTCCGAGGGCAAAGAAAGGGCGAGCTGAGGAAGAATTTTCAAACAATTGTCCGGCTTTAAATTGGCGAAACCGCGGGCGCCCCACCTGCGGAGAATCGAGCATTAATAGTCTTAGCCCAAGGAAGCCTTGGCGAGACGGCTTCCGAATTACAAATAAGAACCTTTCAAAGGAACAATAAGTATAGGCAGATTTTTTCATTGTCAAAGAGAAAGTTTATTTTCATAATTACATTCACACTACATAAACAAGTATTAAAGTGCACGAGTCTCCGCTTATTTGCCCGATCTCTGCTTTTTTTCGCTGAGGGCTCTTTCAAATGGAAGAACAATCGTCAGAGCGGGCAGATTACTCGGTTATTTGCGCGAAATTGTCAAAGAAAACTTCTTGACCTGATAACGTGGTACGTGTTAACTCTACTGAAATGTCCAACTACGATGCATCAAAAACCACCGTCGCTGAGGTCGCGTTTGACATTAACATACTTATATATATATATATATATATATATATATATATATATATATATAGAAAGGTTCCTAGTCATTGACTGTTGTAACATATGTTCCCCAGCTTGATAGTTTACAGTATCAGATACCTTAAGGAAGATGAATTGACACGAACTCTCTGGAAGATAGAAATTATCTTTTATTAGCGTATGAACTATAATCTGCTTTTGCGATTGCTCTTTAAGACACTAAGCATGATCAGCTTGTGAAAAGTAAAATATTTAAGTACAGCATTCTCTTCAGTAAATCTATTGCATTTAGTTCACGTGTCTTATCATTTTTTGGGCTGTTGTTCAGCACGATTACAATCAGTCTTTGTATCACATAATGGTTTGACGGGTATATATAAATATAGAGATACAAATATAACTTTAGGCTCGGCTCGGCTCGTTAATAACTGTCGTATCTATTAACACGGAAAATCTCGGCTGTTATTGACGTGCAATGAGCCGCATAAGAAGGGCCACCCGTCCTTTGCAATTTCTAGTATTTCAAGCACCTGCTAGTATCGACAATTAACAGAGTCACGACTAAGGATTTAAGAATAAAAAACACTGGAGTTATCAGAGAATTTTATCGTAGGAGTTCATCTGTATTTAGGCTATGATTTAAGAAGCTTCATGTCACGAATTACAAAATCTTTTCGCGCTATGAAAACATGGCTACATCGAGTTTGAAAGTGACCGTACAATATTAGTTTGCAAGAAACAAAGATACTGAAAAGACAACCGTTAACAAAGTAAGGGACAAGAGTAGTCATGGATGGAGAGGCGCAGATTTCAGTCGGCGAACTTGGCTCAAAAACTTGGCTAAATCATGGTCTTCAAACCCTTGATGCAGTTTCATGCGCAAGCTGCAAAACCTGAAGTCAGAATTCGTTTTCTGGTTGATTGCTATAATTTAACATGAAGTAAACAGTCTTAAACTGCTTTTTTAATTCACTCTGAGAGTAGAATCGTAAAAGAGGGAAAAATATTACCTTGTTTTCCTCAAATACGTTTTTAATCCCTAATTTAATTACCTTACCCACAGCCGACTATCTTGTACGTTCTACATGTTCTGTATACATAGGCAAATGGAATTTTTACTAACAGGGTTTATCATTTTTCCACCCGATCCGCCAGCATTTACAGTTAGAGCTCTCACCAGACGTTTCATTGGGGAATACGACAAAACATTAGGTAAGCTTACGTTCTTATAACCGACATAGCAGTCACTACGTTGCCGGCAAGTTTACAATAATTCTGCTACACTTAGATAAGCTCTTGTTATCGTTGAATTGTTCCTTGGATAAATGGTTAATTACCAACTGAAAACCATCTTAGTATGGCCATCTTGTCACTTTTCAACTAAATGCGCTATTGATTTATCTGTGAAATCTTAGCAAGGGATCTCTACCCTCTCATTAGCCTAAATTTAGGCCATGTATTGCAAGACGAAAATAGCACTGGAAAGGTCGGGAATCTATCAAAGGAAAAAGTCGAAGAACATCACGAAACGAAACTCTATGGTTTAATTTGTAACTTATAAAGAAATTTGCAGATAGTTTTTAGCGAAAAATTGTCTGGTTTTAGTATCATCAAAAGGGCGCACGACTTTGTGTAATTCTATATTTACTAGTGTTAACGCGGTTACAAGCTCATCAAAATTCGCCCAACTTTTCCCTTCATATACGACATGCAATTCACTAATAAAAACTTACTGAAAAATGAAAAAATAACTGAAAAAAACAGAAAAAAATGAAAGTAAATTTATGGACCGTTTATAAATCTCTCACCCTCTACTCGAAAGTCTTTGTAAATCGAGAATTGTTGTTATCGCCGCCGAGATAGAGGTAGATGACTGAAGTAAACCACATTAGGTTTATGAATCTTATCTCGACGGTTGATGTGTCATCTAGGTCAACATTAACACGACCTCTTCCTTTTAATGCAATGCCATGTCATTCTAACAGAAGCCTCCCTTGGAACAATTGCTGTTAATTATGGTATCTTTTATCATGTTTCCTTTATTTCTTGACGTATCTTTGGGCTTTCTATCCTCCCACGGAATAGGTGGAAGTTCAGTGTTTTATCGCAGCGGAAACATCGTATTGAAACTTTACCTTACATTAACCGAATCACGCAGTCGCCCGTGATTTTATAGAAAATGATTTGACTGATTAAGATAGAAGGATAGTGCTTTAATCTTTCCGTAAAAAGTTGTTTGCATGGCGTTCAGTTTTTCACAATAGGAGAATGAGTATGAAATCAGTTTGAAACTATAGGAGAAAAAGTGAACCTTCATGTATTTTCTCGAACATTCAATGATGGGCGCAAAGGGAACTTAAATGCATACTTCATGCGAGGAATTCTAATGTGCTTTTTTAATTTGCTACAGAATCTACATATCGTCATCATGTAGAGCTCGACGGTCAGTTTCTGTCTCTAGACGTCTTGGACACAGCAGGAAAGGTACAGCAGGCCGTTTTCACGCTGAACATAACTGTGAACTAAATCTTGACAGGCCTTGGACTTTTCTGGATAAATATGAGTAGTATTTGCCATCTCGGTTCCGTTCTGACCCCCTCTCTCCCTCAATCCACTGGCGAATTTCTTCACACGCGAAGAACGACATTGGAGAACGTGCGGATCAATGTCAGTATCTGAACAACTACGCACCCATCCCCTCCCCCCCCCCAACCCATCATTAATCCTAACTTGTTATCAGTTGACTGTTGATGGGTTAAGGGGGGGTGGGGGGGGGGTAGATACGCAGTTGCTCAGATACTGATCATTGCCGCATTCAAGAAAGGTTTTTTTAAACGAGGTTAGAGTTTGCTCCATTAACCCTCCCCTCCACTGCAGATGATGATGGAGCCTGTCAGGGAGAAGGCTGAGCTGCAACTAAAATGGTAATATTCGTCTGTGCTTTTTCAGAACTCTTTAGAAAAGATCGATAAGTGCGTCCACACAGGATCAGACTTATTTTTCGTCCTCTACTCCACAATCGACCGATCCTCGTTCGAGGAAGCCTCCTTGCTCTGTCAGTACCTCCTGAAAACAAAAAACGTGAATCCGGCTTGCTTAATTCTTGTCGGCAACAAAAGCGACCTGAAGCATTTCCGAGAAGTAGATGAATATGAAGGACGTCTATTGGCTCAAGCCCTGGAGTGTGGTTTCTACCAGCTGTCGGTATCGGAAGGATTCGATGACTCTCAAAATGTTCTTTACAGTACCCTCAGGCAGTACGTGAATACACAGAAACACGGATCGCCTTCCATCAGATTGTTTATTGACAATGTATTGAGTCGGAAAAAGTCAGTAACTTAGTCTGTGTTTATTCGCACGCGAATGTATTGTATCAGTATCTTTTTTAGGTAGGGGAAGGCAACCTGGTGTTTTCATCGGGGTGGGAGGGAGAGTCAGAAAATTACCAGGATCATAAGGAAGGCTGTTAGAAAAGTGACGAGTTACAAGAATAAGAGTTTAGGGTTCTACTTCCAACTAACGGAATACCGCATCACACAAGAATTCTTTATTTATGTGTCTACCCCAAATACTTTAGCTGAAAACAGCGTTCGCTCACGGAAAGCAAGAACACATTAAACCCCAAAGGCGAATTGGTGAAAATAATTCAAATCATTAAATAATGAATTTCGTGACTGATAACCAAAGTTCTAGCCGCTCACGGTGCCATGGCAGCATGATTCCATAAAATCAATATGCTCATTTACCTCCATGCGAAGCCCAGAAGCCTCATCTTGTTCCATTATGATTCCTTGGCCGAAAAACGTTCCTCCCTTGAACAAAAAGAGCTTTTAGAGATAGAAGAGTACATAACCCTCGAACCTAGCTAAGTTTCTGTACCTGTACATATTTACAGTAGCATAAATAATTAATTGTATTTATTAATTCTGAAAAGATAGTGTAAATTCTAGGCTAGGAAATATTTTGTATAATAGTGATAGTAGGCTCAAAAAGCACAACAGAGAATGCAAAATAAATGACACTTCCCCACAATCAAGTTCCTAATGCAATCTTTGGCGCTGTCTAACGAATTAGATAGATTTCAGTTAGGAAGGAAAGCCAAGCGCTGAGCAAAAGAGAAATCAGACTGAAGATGGTTCCACCCTGGGTATTCAGATGGGGTAAATAACTATTACCAAATACAACATTTCCATTACTAAGTCAAAACGGACAAATCTCGTCCTTAAACCTTTCAATTTACACCCGTCAACGTTGTTCCCGGACGGATCATGGTACGTGTATAGATGGAGTTGCGTGAAGGCAATTCGAAACTCGCGTTGGAAATAATTGCATAACTTGTGTTGGGTTAGTTTTGCTTTATCATCTAGACATCCAAACATCCAATTACTCTTTCACGAGAAGGACTAACGATCGAAATTTCAGCTTTAAAAACTCGTTACGGTGGCCAATTTACATTACCAACTCAGTTGACAAATCCATCGACGCAGCACCACAGTTTCTTTAGAAACTTACCCCCTTTATTCAGAAGCAGAAAGACGTTTTGCTAGCGACCCGTCTTTTGGCAAACATAGCTCAAGAATCAACTGATCTGAGCACGACAATCTTACTCGTTATAAAATCAGTCTACAGTTTGTTTACTTGTAGTATTTGGTGGCCATGGTTTTCATTTACTTTAATCTCATTTAAAAAGGTATTTTTCGGGGGATGTACACCTTTTGAATTGTTTTCTGACTGCGTAGGTGTTGTTTATTTATAGTCTTACGTCTCCCAGCCAAAATACATTCCTGTCTTACTTTTCAAGTTTAAAACAAAACTTGTTTTAATTATGCTATTTTTTTGGCTATGTATCAGAGAAGTTGCAAGCCTGGACAAAACATTTTTTTTATCATACACAATAAAGCTGAAATAGGAAAATAAAACATTTATAAGTATTCCATTGCGACATGACTTCGAATCTGACGAATGGCGCAACACTGCTTCCATTTTTATTCCAGGTTTATTTTTGTGTCAAGAAGGCTAAGATGAACCCTCTCGTAATTTCCACTTCGTCATGAAATACGTCAAACAAGGGAGATAACCGAACGGAATCCAATTATAGGGGACGGAATTACTGTTGATAACCACTTCTGCAAACGAATACAAACAAGAACAGAACTCAAGTGTTTTTTTTTTGTCGCATTTTCAAAGAACCCAGCATTTTAAGAGGGTTTAAATTCCTGTTCATGCTCGATAGCTTACGTTTGTGCTTATCCAGCAGGAGATAACACCGGAATTCAACCACAACTTCCCGATGACTGTCTTAGTTGCTAAGGTCACTAGCTAGCACTTGCAACAATATTTAACGCCAAACAGTAGGACATCGGACGCGAGATCGAATGAGATACGTGCATAGCAGGTTGCCGGGCAAGTTGCCGAATTGGAAGAGGCGTTTTTAGAGACTAGACCTTCTAGAGCTGTTTCTTAATTTAGCTCCTAATGCCCGAATTCAAGATGTCAACCTGGATGTTTAAAAGTGGAAGGCAAAGGAACTCTAGTCCGGTAATGTGTTTTTAATACATCTTGTGAGTCATCGTATGGCTTCTGTGAAAGCTTCTGACTATTGGAGACTCTGAGGAGATTGGAAACTGAAAGTGAGCAATTCAGACCAGTTTCTTTCACCTTTGACATACAGAGTATAAGTATTGACTTATCATTTCTCAATTTATTCTTACGAGAGAAATTTTCTTCAAGTGATAGAGGAATTACGAGATTTCAACGGGATAACGGACGATGAAAGGAAACTCGGTTGAGAAACGGAAAAATATGCTAACCAAAACTAAATACGTTACCAAAATTTCATTTGCATGTAAAAATTCTGTTCCTTTTAATCTTTATGAGACATGAGAAAATTAAGTGTGGTTATTTTGTGCTCCCAGTCAAAACAGGCGCGGTTCTTGGATGTGTAACATGCGCATGTTTTCCTAACGATAAATCTCATGTAATCCATTTTATTTAGCCTCGAACACATTCAAAGCAATTTTACATTGGAGAGTTAGGAGTAGATTTAAAAGGCCTTCAGAATTCTTTTTGCCGATGTGATTGTTTGTTAACACCTACAGAACTCACAGGCCGACGTTTCTACACGGCAAAAAATATCGAAAAAATCATACGCCATCCTTAGGGATTTTTATTCCTAACATAGTTAAGACGATAGCATCAATTTTGCCAGGTAAAAAGGAAAAGAAAAAAGAAAAGATGAAATGGCTTGCGAGGCAGTCTCGATCCTAACAACATTAGTGCTAGCCCACACATTGCAGAGGAGGAAAATTTAAAGTTTCATTTAATACCTTTAAAATCTATTAAGGAAATACGCAAGTCTGCCTTACGTTTAGGGAAGAGGCGTTCTTTTTTTGATAAGATCGCATGGGAGGAAAAAAAACAAACAAACAAATTGGCATTAGTGCACCCACTTGGCTAAAAGACGTGTCCAGAATATCTGATAAAGATGAATCGATTTCAAGTTGCGGATCTATGCGAACCGACAAGGAAACCACAACGCCCTTTGATTATCACTTCTATTCCAAAGATTCTTTGTTGTGTGTTACCGAAATCAGACTAAGCGATAAGATTAACATGACCCTCTACAGTGATAATAGTTTAATGCTTGGCTAAATGCATTAACACATTAACAGGAACACAGCATGCCTTTGACTTGAAGAGATGTATTCATGATCGTATAGTTTCCAGTACAATCGGATCTCAAAAATTCTATTCCTCAGTAAAAAAGCGCGGCCTATTTTGAGGGTTCACATTTGTGAGAATGTCAAAGGTTATTTACTGATTCCTGTTGATCGATGGGAAGAGAGACAAAAAATGTTCTTTTTCTTGATAAAAGAGTCTGCGTTGGTCTCCAATTCAGTTACCACTTCATGCACCACTGAAAACAGGGCCAACATCGTTAATGTCCTTGCCGAGAGTTTTGTGTTTGTGGCTTTTACTGTGTAATTGCGAAGCTTATAGTGAGCAAATATACTTGATTAGTTTATTAATGAATAGACCCCACTTGAAGTTTGGCGTATACACAAGTATTGAATCGAGTATAGAGTTTACCAACAAACAAACAGCAGTGCATTATGCGAGGGCCGTCCTGAAGTTTCACATATTACACATGTGTATAATATTCTTGTTTGTGATGACTAACGAATTTTAAAGGACCCATGAAGAGTGCTCTGATTCTCAAAATAACAATTCATCTCATAAACATAATTCAAATTGACAAATATCATAGAGCGAAGAGGAACGAGGTCAAGGTTTACGTCTTTTGAAAATGCAATGGCCAAAATATTATTTGGAATTTTTTTTAATATTATCACTTGCATTTATCCTTGCCTCTTTATGCTTGTTTAGAATGCTTCTGTTCCCTCTTTCTATCTCAGCCACCTAATATTTCGTGGAGGTAGTTTTGCTTTGTGAAAAAAAAAATAAAAGAATGCTGAACTCAAAACGCCAGGTTACTACTTGAAAACAGGCCGGCAACACGTAGCGAACAGACGCCATCCTACTGTGTGTCGTGAGGATATGGAAAAATCTGGCTCAAAGCGGCAAAATAACACGGCTAAATGTTTTCAGTAATTGGATCACTTCCTGTCGTTCGTTAATTTTGGTATTCCACAATATTTTAACTCAGAAATGTATGATTCATCACGGAAACTGAATAAGGGCAGTTGTAAACATTAAGGCACGCGAGATATTTCACAAGTCACGAAAAGTATGTTGTGTGAAACGATGATATAAACGATGGCGTAAGAGAAGAAAAATGAAGGAAATAAAAATTGAGATGGCTGCTGTCAATCGAATTTCGCTCAGTCATTACCGTTGGCGGTCAGAGAGGAAAAGTTAAAATCTTTTAACTCGGGAAAATAATTATCATCACACAATAATTAAAATTATTTTGTGATGAGAGTAAACAAGCTCATCACTAATGCCTTTGTTTATTTAAAGAGCGCGAGCGTTATCTTGGTAAAGCACTAAATTCGTTTTCAATTGATTCCAGAAAAAAGGAAATGACAGCTGAAAGGGAAGATTTCAAAAGGAGAAAAGCATCAGTAAATAACATTATCTTGATTAAAACCAAAGTATAGTCTAGAAACTGCTGTGTGGCAGCTAATAGGGAGGATTGCCAAATAGGAAAAAATAATCCGTCTAAGAACTTCGTGTGTTTGTTTACACATAAAATTCTCGTCAACAGTATGTTCGAGAAGGAGACGTGCGGCAGCTAAAGGGAAAGATTGCAGAAAATGAAAAAAAAAAAAAAAAAAAGACTCAGTTTAAAGCGTCATCTTAATGAAACACCAAGGTCTAGTTACCAAGTAATTCTAGAAGGAGATGGGTGGCTGCTGAAAGGGAAGATTGCAAAAAAAAAAAGAAATCAACTAAAGAGCTTCGTCTTAAACAACATCAGAGTCACAGTCTGATCAATTCTTTAAGAAGATATCTGGTGGCAAGAAGGCAAATTTGCAAACATCAACAAAAAAAGGCCAAATTGATAAGACTACTTTTTAATCGGATAGCCTAAAAAGTTTCCGCATTGCTACATTGTGATTGGCCGTTTGCCATTCCTTCTCGTTCTGAGCCCGTAGATTAAGATTTTTTGCAGCGGAAGTCGAGCGATTTTTCCCACGTCATATCTAAGCGCACTGACTGATACCTTGGACTGATGTTCTTACTATAATCATAACTTACAGCATGTGTTTACCACAGTGCAATCTACGTTACTCACAAACTGATCAACGAATGACAAAATACAAATAGATTGGCGATTACAACATTTTTAATGAGAGAGCAGAAAAACAGCCACATCACCAATTAAGATACTAAAAATAAAACTACCAGATATCCATTTAATTTACATAGCAGTCTTTTGAAATCTATGAATTTTGCCTTGGCCTGAGTAAAATGTCATTGACGCAAATCTTGTCGCTGTAATTCGTCGAAAATTATGTGGTTGACAATTCTCTTACCAGGGGCTGCTTAGCTATTCTATTGAATGTATTGTTCGGACGTTATGAGTTTTCATTCAAACGTGAACAATTATTACCGACAAAACATAATTGAAAACTTGTTAATTACCTTATTGTACCTGCAGTCGTCTTTAATTACGCAATTTTGATATGAAATTCTCGCTGAACTTTACCTAAAAGATATGAGATCCCACTACAGACCATTAAAAGAATTTTTTAAAAGTGGATTCAAGTTATACAATGAGATTTAGGAGTCATAGACACGCTGAGATGTAAACTGTTCGCTTGACAAACCTTGGAAGTAGCGCGCATTTCGTCTGCAACTGGTGGACGTAATTAATGTACCATGTCTCAAGGGTACCAACACATTAATTGTTTTCGTACCAACTGCCATGTTTCTTTTATTTGAGAGCCCTGTACGTGATGGAGTAAGAAAGATAAGCATGTCACAAATGTTTTTGGTTTTAAAAAAATCTTAGTCGATGATAAAGATTCATCTAACTTAAAGGCAACTTAATTGGTAAGTTTTGTAGCCAACACGCTTCTTAGCCTCTCACAGAAATCGGCAGAACTCGACTAATCCGAAATATTTGAGTATTTACGCTTATGGCTTCATTTATTGATGAAAATTGTAATAACTGGGTTAGTTACACTAAATCAGTGATTACGCCATAAGCGCCTAAGCGAAGTTCGACTAAATCTCATTGAAAAGGCGTATTAGCGCGCGTACTTCCGGCAGCCCGCGTAGGGCAATAATTACAAAGGTATCACCACAGGAATGACGTCAACAACAACGTAAAACAATAGTTCAAAATAACTGAACAATAACTTCATTTGAGATTTAATATCGAAGCGTTACGGACCTCCAACATTTTGAGCAATACACAACTGCTTTTGAGAGGAGTTGCACACACTGAAGACACAGAACTCAAATATGGTATGAAAAACAGTGCGTGTGTAATGAGTGGTCTTTGTAGCTTTTTAGACATAGAAGTCTTGAAGTATGACTTTTAAAATCATTTTGAAGTGCAGTTGATTAGCAGTTTAACTTGTAATTATCACCTCTAGCTCTTCTTTTATTTCTTTTCATCGGAATGTACGCCTGCTCTGAAAATTCTGACCACATACCTCGAAACATAAGGGCATCAAAATGGCTGTGGTAAACAAATGGAATATTCCACATAGTAGTCTATTATCATGGAGGCGATTTTAAAACGATTGATGACAGGAGGTCTCAACGGGCATTGCATAAAAATAAGGTTCTCTAGAGGTTGACTTGATATTTGGTTATCGGTACAGCTAAGAAGGCAAGTAAGAGGTCGAGCTGTTTATTTGGAAACGCAAGTCCTTGAGTGAGATTCTTCAAATTAGAAGTGAATGATTTGAAGTACATGCGTGAGGTACTGTTTGTTTTTCAGCTTAAAGTTCTCATTTCCGTCTTCTTCCTCCAGGATAGAACCATGGATAGCTTGACAATTCCACCGAACTTCCAAAGTACAACAAAGCCTAGAGCAACCACTGGGAACAACAATGGAAACTTAAAAAGTATTCGCTCCGTCGTACTGGGAAAGGATGGAGTAGGAAAATCAGGTATTTGAAAGCCAAACATGTCAAATCGTTGCATGTTTTCTTTTGTTTTAAGCTGAAAGCTTGAAATCAAACAAAGCTTGAAATCAAACAAAGCTTTATCTCACCGCGGGTCGCCGTATAAGGAATGTTTAAACAATTTTCTTTACATTGAAACGTTCTTCTAAGTCACGAGTTGTTGCTGTGCACATTTCTCGTGATGCCTTTTTACGCGACGTGTGGTTTTGAGATAACAGAGAATGAAGAAAAACATCACAGTAAAATTAATTGACACCAATGTAGAATGTCGACAAAGTCATCGCTTCAACGCTTTAGCGTGAAAAACATTCTTTCATGTGTTTGCAACTATGTTTACACACTAGCGACAGGTGAAAGGTCATTGTAGTTGTTGATATTACAGTCACGTTCCATAGCACAGCTAGTTTCCCCGCTAGAAACATTTGTTTTTAGAATCCATTCTAGGCTATCTTTATGAATTATTTCGAAACTGTTGAACGTGTGTTGAAGTTGGTACGTGCGCAAAACAGCCTGTTTTGTCGCTTATTCCGGAATTTTTTGGGTCTTAACACTTAAAACGTAGAGTTGCATGACCTGCTTCCGTGAAAGAAATTCGCTTTTCCGCCCGGGCGAAAATAAATTTTCCAGAATATAAGGACTTTTCAATCTTTTCGTAACCATATCAAATATTTTCATTTCTAACTTCTACTAAACGGAGATTTCAGCTCGGAGAAACATATAAATAAAACTTGAACTCAAGGGACAAGGAGGGACATCGATAGAGAACACAAAAACAGATAGCTTATTATGAAATTCATTGTGAAACAAACGCCGAACTTTAAAAAATGCGGCAGACCCTTTCAATGCGAGAAAAATTTGATTCTTGAAAGTTTGAATACTCGAGCAAACGAACAGAGTATCAATGGATTGCGTGTCAAAAGGCTGTACGCGCCTTCATAAGTAGAGGAAGACACGAAGATTTGTGGTGGTTACCATAAAAGGAAATCCACCCCTATAGTAGACAATAACAATAAAAGCAAAGATGAACAATTCCGTATGCCAAGGGCCGAAATTCTAACAAATCAAGGCTGTTAAATTAGCAAAGCAAGGTTTGCACTAAAGGTTAAATTCAAACTTTGTTGACATATTCCCAGATCTAGAAACTTCGTATCATTTCTTTTCGTGACTACTGGCCATACATGCTGCAAAGTATGTTTATCAAGATAAATTAACACAGCTATTAAAAACAGATTAAAATTGTACAACCGCACTCGATTTTAATTTAGGATAGCGTGAAAGTTTTATCAGCGTGTTTACAGCGTGTTTACATATTGCACGCAAAGTTGATTCCACTTACTCTGTCAGCATTCCTGTGAACCACACCCAACACAGAATGGAAAAAGTTAAAAATATAGATGGATTATGCAGGGGTTTCAAAAACGTTCCCAATAAGCGGCCTCTGATGATTTAATAGGCGGCTGTGCCCGGAAAGGGGTCGTTAGGCAAAACCGAAACAAGAGCCTGCTCCGGCAGGCTAAAAAAAGGGCGGTAAGAGGTCTTACAAGCAGCAGTAGACCGCCTGTAACTGGCTTTGAATGAAACGCGAGATTATGGTTTATAAAAGAGCTGTTTTGAAAATGTAGCTTGATGTTAGTAGTAAATAAACTATTTAAAATAGCTAAGTAACATAAAGATTGCTTTTTGATTACTAAAGATGATTTTAAGTTGTTGTTGTTATTGTTGTTTTTAGCCTTCACAGTCAGACTTCTCACAAAGCGATACATTGGAGAATACGACAGCACTTTAGGTAATGAAAAACATTTTCTTCTTGTTCAATTTCATTGGCCAACAGCTTACCACGTGACCTGTACTGTAAAAGGGTCGGCTACACCAGATCAAGTTTTAGTTTTAAGCCAAAAAAGTGACAGATTATATCTAATTGCTACCATTTCTTTAACTTCAGAAGAAACATACCGTCATCGCGTTGAAGTGGACGGACAAAAAATCCTTTTAGAAATCTTGGACACTGCGGGACAAGTGAGTAGATCAAGCTGCTTTTTCAAAATTTACAAGAAATTTATAGCTTTCACAAAAAAGAGTCCTTCGCAAGTTACTTATCCCTTTCTTAGGTCAAGAAAATTGGCCTTAAGCGTTTTTCGCCTTAGTTATTCCAGTGACACAAAACCGAACCTAAGTAATCACAACAACCAATGAGAAGAAGGAAAAATTTCCTCAAGCGCGGGAAACCGCGAATTGTTGATAAGCATCCGATTGACAGGGAAAGTAGTGCCAGTTTCTAGTCCAATCGTGGGCGCTGTAACGTAAAACCAATACAAGCCCATGATACTTTCGTGCCACTGTCTTAAAAATTGCTCTTCTGGCTTCTCTTTTCTGGAATTGTAATTCAAAAAGAGAGCAGGTCGCTTTTTCCATGATGCTCCTATAGATTTCTACATGACAAAGATATCTACGTGAAATTCTTTTCAGTGACAACTAATAAACTGATGTTTTTCATCTCACAGAACTCTGTGGAAAAGATCGATGCATGTTCCTCGGCAGATGTATATTTCGTTCTTTATTCAACGACAGATCGTTCGTCGTTCAGAGAAGCAGCTCTAATCACCAAGTACCTCCTTGAGACAAGAAACGTCAATCGGGCCGCGATATTTCTAATAGCTACCAAAAAGGATCTTAAATACGAACAGGATGTGACAGAATACGAAGGAAGATTATTAGCAATGGAGCTCGGATGTGAGTTTTACACCATTTCAAGCTACGAAGGGTTTGATGGTACGCAAGATGTTCTACGCGGTTCGCTTCGATTCTCTCTAAATAATAAGGGAAATGGTTCAAAATCTCCACTTATGACGCGGATGAGAAAAGGACTAAAACACAGGTCGCACACAAGTAGTCCCACTCCACAAGTGATTGAAAACAGGGACAGGACTTCGACTCTTTGATTTATCACGTCACCAAGAACTGCGCTGTGCTAGGTGAAGAAAATAGTTTTACGTGACAACATCTGGGCTAATTCACCTCAAGGGAAAGAAAACGTTTCAGAACAATTTTAAATAAAATCTCCCTCGACTCAAATCATTTGTAATGATTGCAAATTTGTGAACACGTGGTAGAGCAAGTTTATACTATGAAATTGTTCAAGTTAGAGTCTTTCCGTTTATTTAAAACATAGGAGAACTCTTAAGTTTATCAGTAATTGTTGAAACACCAGAAACTCTTGTAAATAGGAATCCAAAAAAGGCTAAAAATATTTTGTCTATAGCCCCAACAGTGTACCTTGCCCTCTCCATTGTTCGTCATATTTAAAATCAATATCAAGCTGGACTGATAAATTACGAATAACAAGGTCTGGATACGTATGTTTCTATCGAGAGCAGGAGATGGAACAAGAGGTTTTCATTTCCATTGAACATCAATGAAAGGAAATTAAAAGAAACTCCAAATATGTATTTGTATACTCTATCAGATATGACAATCGAATACATGCAGTCTCCGTTTACATCAGCGTTTTCGGGAAGGTTTTAGTGTGGATGACAGGCAAACATGCATCGAAAAGTTGCATTTTTGAACAAAAACGCGAAAGCGTAGATGAGAACTGAAACGGTTGGAAGTGTTGAAAACATGTCAAGAGATTTAAATGTGTTTGTTTATAAATGGAAAGGTAGGGATAGAAAATGGCCAAAGGAATCGATCTTTTTTTTTTTTTTCATCTCCTGAGACTTTAAGCTTTTTAATCTGGAAACGTTTGGAATTTTGAGCAAATGTTAATACCTTGTGGGTATTTTCATATTGATTGACCTTGCCCTCCCATCAGACTTTACTCTACGCCATTATTCTGAATTCTCCGAGCACCCCTGTATCATGCAACGCTTCACAAGATACAACCAAAAGACTCTTCTTCGTTATAGGTTTAAGAACTGATGCCTTAAATATCAACGAGCAAATCATTTACCTTAAGTAACTTTAGATGTAAATACTGTGCAACAGATGAGGCGTAGTCCTGCAAAACGTTAAGAATTTTTCCCTCATTCAACGCAAACACATGATGAAAAGACATCAAGATGTACAAACTAAAGATTGTGGTTTCTGTTGGACAGACTACCAAAGGTCACACGTTTTGTTTAACTCCTCACTTGGAAAACATTACAGAATCATTAAATGCTAGATTGTTATCTCAAAGGACCATATTTCGCATCTTTTCACAAATACGACCAGAACATTATACATCATCAGTTCTAGCAACTGCCACACGTAAACTGATTTATGAAAGAAGGCGAAAAAAAAACACAAAAAAAAAAACAAAACAAGGAAGTAACACTCGTCCAGGTTACTGAGGCTTGGATGCGTCTCAAACAGGACTTTGATTCCTACATATTTGAACTATCCCTGTAGTTAATCACATTTAAGCCTCTATCACGTACTAATCCGCTAATTAAAAAGGCAGATTAAGGAAAAATTAAGCTGGTTAGAAGACAGAATTTTGTCGCTGGGAAACTAAGGAGACTAGGTGATCAATTTATACACGATAGATTTTATTCCTGAAAGATACCATATTTAGGAAAATACAGTTTCTATAGTAAACTAAAATTGATAGATTAAGTACAGATGAATCTAAAGATTCAGGATGTACTCTCTCTTCCTTGTTTCACGCCCCTCCTTTAAACCTTAGAGTCTTGATTTGCTTTAACGCTGTTTGCTTTGTAAATAACCCAGGGAGTGCCGAATCTTTGCTTTGACAAGTTTTGATGTTTTCCCATTAAAATGGTCCGAAGAAAGAAAACTCCGCAGTGACCTTACACCCCTGGTATCGATAACAGTCACTTATAATTTGCCGCCAACAATGGTTACATCAAAAGCGACGTAAAGATTTCAGTTTCCGTGCCAGACTGTCTCTTGTGTTATATTTGACCCGTGTCCAACTAACATGCGTTGAATAGGAAGTATAATTCTCCGCAGTCATCTCGCAAAGATACGTTCGTCAATAATTTGAACCCTGAGCTAGGCGAGCAAGCAGTTGTAAGCATCATTAGCCTCGAACGGAGTGAACCACGTTTGAGAAACTGTTGACCAGAGAACTTTTTCTTCTATTTTTCCACAAGGTTTAATACGTTGTTGTGCCGATCAGAGATTTGCCAAGAGTCGGATCATATACACGGAGAAAAATGGAAACCAAAGGTGACCAATTTGGAAGACGAATGGTAAGTAAATTTAACTGGGTAAATGTTTATTTAAACCCACTAAAAGTTGTGATGTTTAAATTATCATAAAACTTGTTCACTAAGTAACAAAACATGCGACAAGGTGTATTTTTCCCCGATGTTAGATTTCTTATGCATTCTGCGTTTAGCTCTCGGAAAATCTCTTGGCTGTCCACAAAGGAAACCCAGTAGCAATGCATTTAGATATTTGAGTGTTCTTTTTGCATCTTGCGGTGAAAGGTTGAGATGAGTGATTCCGTAGAGAAGTTAGTAGAAATAACAAGACGGAGCGATATGCATATTCTGACATTTAGGGAACAGCTAATGCATGCATGATTTTTTTTTGTTTTGTTTTGTTTTCCTGAAGTCTTTCCCACAAGATAACGCTGGCCATTCAGTGTTTCCACGAAAACCGCGGAATCTCAGCGTAGGGTCAAATAATAACATCGAAGAGGAGAACAAAGTCATCAGAGCAGCTGTGCTGGGCAAAGATGGCGTTGGAAAAACCGGTGAGTGGAGAGCCTTTCATGTATTACAATAAAACCGCGACCTTACGAGGCCTGTCGCACGCGCCTGCAATTGAGGGATTATCACCAAACTTCTCTTGGAGCTGACACGGCAATAAAATGGTTTGAGAGAGCCTCTGGCTATCACGCACTAGTTGCCGCATGCAAGAGACAGGCATCCAAGGAAGTTCTACCAGGATAAAACGAAATGTCATGATAAAATCAAACGAAGGCTTCTTTACTAAGATTTTGTCACCGGATGTAAAAAACATTAACAGCGTTGTAAGAGACTATTTAATGCCAAAATATCCTAAAATAAGTCAGGTAGAGATTTTCTCTGTATGTGCACTGAAAAAGACGTCATTACTAAGCAACTTTAGAGCGGAGGAATATTGACTGCTCGGCAATCCTGAAAATATTACTCGAATTTTCTTGTAAGTTCGTTGTTTGCAGTAGGTTTTCATGTGTGCCATACGTCTTTCTTTTCAAATTACCCCAATGTTTGGCGTTTTTCTTCCCTAACAAAATATAGTTTCAAGATTTTAACCTTTGAAAAACACAAAACACACTCGTCTGTAGCTCTACTACACAACAGTTGAGAACGATAAAAAAAGTTTGCGTGAGTACAGCATCTTCTCGCAGCAGGGAACCGAACATCTTTAGTGAAACCCACTCCACTCACTCATCAAGTTTCCATTTCTAAACTTCAACATATTGACTTTTGGTAGGCGCAACAATGCTTATCGTCAGTAATCAGATTTCTTTTATATCCTTCCGGCGTTTCGTGGTAAAGCTGTGACCAAAAATATCTATGTACAAATTCTTAAGAAATGTAAGGTGACATGAAATAAATTAATCTTTGGACTCTCTTTGATGGGACGACAATTATTCCGTGTTTTCGTACTCAAAAGTTACATTCATAATTTTATTTTAAGCTCTCCAAAACGCCATTGTACAGTTCAGCGAAGCGTCAAGCCGCTCTGCTATGCTCCCGATTTTTCATAATTTCCCGATGACCCTTTAAATGGGGGTTTGTTTGTAAACTGATAAAACTTCCAAAACAATACTGTCGAAAACAAACACCTTGCTGTACGGCGAAACCTTTTGATGTTTAATCTTTCAGTTTTGTCATTTTGTGTTTTTTTATTTGTCTTTTCCTAATTATATTTACTTAATTGTCTAGTTACTTTTGTACTTTTACGATCACAAATCAATGTTGCCTAGTAGAAGTAATTCTAACTGATCTTTTACCTGGCTAGTTAACTCCTCAAAAATGATACTTATAGTTCCCTGGTGTGGTTGTTACACTGTACGAGTTGCCTAGTGAATTAGAGATAGGTTGTTATGTCGTGATCAGACCCTACAGCTGACATTTTTTTAACAAATACGTTTTTTCTGGATAATATATTGATATTCCAGGGTAACATGAGCAGAGATTAGTTGTTACTCAGTGCCACTGGTTAAAATTATCTTCTAGTTTCATTCTCTTTTCCTTCTGCTAGCCTTCACTGTTCGTCTTCTGACACGTCGTTACATTGGGGAGTACGACGGCACATTAGGTAAGTTGATAAACACGATAAATACTACCTCACTGTAACAGCTAGTGACTAAATCAATAACGTCCTCTATTCTTGAATCTCTATAAGAATCATTTTATGAACAACAATCGATTTTCACTTGGAATGTTTTTTAAAATATTTAAATAATTTCAAAGGGGCGACACTTGTTTACGAGTTAGTAGGAAAATTACAGCACGTAAGCGGAAAATTCTGATCTGTACCTTTCTCTCAAATAACAATTTATTTCTGAGTCACCCACTTATCAACAGAAGCACAGAGATAAATCTAAACCTTTTGATACAAAGTTCACGCAATTAGTGCAGATTGTAAGCAGTAACAGACGTACAAAATACCTTCAACTTTTCGGTACAAATTTTAAAAACTTCAAAGAAAGAATACTACTGACTTCGAGAAAACGTTTCAGCAGGGTTAGAGAAATTTCAAACATTGGCTTTGCTACCAGAATGTACCGCTAACTAAACAACATTGCGTTCGTTCACGTATAAAAGCATAAACCTGACTAACTCACTAACAGACTGAAAAGATGAGGATCGCGCAAGGTGTTATCTTAGGAAGGCATTTAATTAGTTTTGAATTAGCGTAAACAGTAAAAGAATTCCTCAAATTTTTTTTAAACCACAGAGAGCTGGTATCAGCATCGCGTTGATATAGAAGGACAAGAGGTCTTATTTCATGTTTTTGACACAGCTGGCAAGGTATCAACCCTTTCCTTGTTACTTATCTTTTTTTGCAATCCTTTGATGTTGAAGATTTCATCGATTTCGGGGAATTATAGTTAGTGATGTCTCTGATCTCTCCACAATTTTTATTTATTGGTTCGTGTAAAGCTTTATCTGGATATTGTAACAGTTATTTAGTGATAACAGCACAACATGAAGGCGTACAATTCAAGATGTCTGCAATTAATTATTAATTCAACTGCTGTAAACAACCAGTTTTGTCAAGTAAATTATCATTGCACTCCCAATTAGGATTGACCTTTTCTTTTGCGATGAGCAGAACGAAGTGACATTTCTATTAGTAAGCAAGAGTAATTTAACTTGTTAATGACTCCAATATTAGTTGTGAAGGAACATCTCCATCTACATTCCAGTCTTGCAGTAATGATATGGCAAAGGCTATTAATGGCTTTCACGGACAATCAATTTGACTACGCATGTGC